CTAAATAATAAAGGGGGAGAAATAAACAAGTATTCATGAAGGTGAAAATGTGACCCAGAAGGAAAATTCAAACCATTTTCAATTGATGTTGAATAGGATGAGTAAATTTTTGAGTTACAATTTAGTTGAGTTGTCAGAGCTAGTACTGATGCAGAAAGATATTTTTTGTCATCTATAAATAATTCCTGAGTCACTTCTGTAGAATGTTAATAAAAATATATGGTCCCCCAGCATATAAAGAGAAGAGAATTATATTCTGCTAGTGCTGTTTTTGGATTACCCTAAATAAACCTATGTTAGAGGAGAACTAACTCTTCAGAAGCCTCATCTTGAACAGCTTGTTTAAAAGCCTAGACCTGGTCAAATTTTGCTATCTCCTTGATTCTTCTTAGTCTGGATTCTAGCTATGATCTATGTTTTATATGTATCACTGTTTGTATGACACACTATGATTTGGAGGAGGTGTCTAAGAATGTCTGCAACATATATGGTCTAATTGATATTTTTATAACATATCTTTTCTTCAATGTGTTCGGCTGGAAAGAACATAGATTTTGGACTCAGACCTGGGTTTCAGTGTGAGCTCAGCAATTAATAGTCAATTAAGGTCTCTGAGCTTTAGTTGTCTATTGTCTATAAAGTGGAGATAATTAAAATAGTCAAATTCACTTAAATAAATAGGTGAAGTGTCTAGTGTCCGAATCACTTCGAAGGCACCTCGTAAATACTGGTTTCCTTTCTTTCTAACTGTATAGCACTATTTAAAAGGATGGTCTAAAATTCTGAATTTAGTGATATAATTATGTGAAGACAGCCTAGACTGCCTAGAGAAAAAAACTAGATTTGAGAATTACTGTTTTAGGATGTAAATAACAGCTATCAGACCAAAACCAAAACAGAATAAAAATATAAACCCACTTTATACCCATTATAATATACCTTATATTTTGGTAGTAAGATTCAATTTATATATTATAAAATTTTTACCTACATTAATTTGTATTCTGTGAGGTAAATAGGGCAAATGTTATTGTTTCCAATTTTATGGATGCGGCTAAGAATTTAAGTAATTTACTGAAAGTTATACTACTGGTAGGTAGAAAAGCTAAAGCTTTATCCTAGGACTTCTGCTCCCCACCCCACCTTTTTAAATTATTTTTTGTTTTAAGCTATATTATACATTGAGGTAGAATTTAAAAATTATTTTTTTCCAAGACAGGGTTTCGCTCTGTTGCCCATGTTAGAGTACAGTGGCTGCATCATAGCTCACTGTAGCCTCAAATTACTGGGCTCAAGTGGTCCTCCTGCCTCAGCCTCCCAAAGTACTAGGATCACAGGTGTGAGACACTGCATCTGGCCTGGAAATTCTTTTGACAATAGTGTCATGAGTATGTGCATGTGTGTTCATTCTGACTCCCATTTATCAAATATTTGTTTTGTGTACAAGCATCATGTTAAATACTGCATGTTTGTGTGTGTAATACAGTAGTACCAAATGTAATGTTTCTCACCTCACATTTACAGTCTACCTGGGACAGAGGGCAGAAACGTGGTAAAGTTAAATGAGAGTGCAAGGTGTGTGTGTCTGAGTGGCAACTGAGCAAAGCAGTGGGGGAAAGACTACAGGCTCAACCTGCAAGCGATAAGGGGGTGGGTATAGTATACACATGAGAGAAGAGTCCAAAAGTTTTGGTGATTATGCTTGTGGGAGAGGGAACGACCAAAGGTGAGTCTGAAGTTTGGAACTGAGTGACTTTGAGAATGATTAGAAACAGGGAAATCAAAATTGATAGTAGGGTAGGGAATAGGGTAGTTCAGTGGGGTAAGGTTGTTGATTTATATGGGGGGTGGGGAAGGGTAGAACAATGTCTCAAAATCAAGTACAACATCTGGGGCATCCCAAGCAAATTGAAAGCAGCAGGATAGCTAGGAGTTAGGAGAGAGACTAGGTCTGGAGAGAGAAATTGGTGAGTTTTTGGTAGAGATATAATGGCTAAAGTGGAATAGTTTGATAAATTCTGTTCTTTGTGAGGTTGGAAGATTGAATTTTAGGCAATGTTTGGTGTTGAAAGGGAAGAATAAAGAATAATCAATAAGCAGACTCTTTGTAAAACTCTAATTCTGGCGACTACGAAGGTCTGACAATTAAGTATTACCTCTTTGCTGTTTTATAATAGAGCACTGGGGATTTAGTGGGGTTTTTTTGTTTTGTTTTTGTTTTTTGACTGCTTCCTTCTCTGGAGGAAGTTTAGTTAAACAGCTGTCTCTTAAGTTCTAGGCATCACTGGAGGAGAACAATGTATATTGGCTTAGTTGTATGTATACCAGTTACTGTGGTGAGATGTTGCCATATAGGTTCTCTGTGTCTTTAGTGTTTTCTTCGGGAATCAGGTTTGTGTTTTCAAGAGTATATCTTCCCCAGCCCTCACTCCAGGGAGTGGTGTGCACAAAGAACATAGGGAAGAAGAATAATGAACAAGAGGAACTTGAAAAATGTGAGGATTTTTTTTTTTAAGGGGATGGTCTCAGTTCGATCCTGCTGTTAAAAGAAAATACCTTAGACTGGGTAATTTAGAAATAAAACAAATTTATTTCTTACACTTCTGGAAGGTATAAGATCAAGGTGTCAGCAGACTCTGGTCTGGTAAGGGCTCATTTTCTGCTTCTGAGATGGTGCCTTCTCCCTGCATCCTCACAGGGTCAAAGGGAAAAAAGGATGACCTTAAGTGGTTTTATAAAGGCACTTTTATCCCATTAATGAGGGTTGAGCCCTGTTGAGGTAATTACCTCCTAAAGGTCCTACCTCTTAATACTACTGCATTGGGGATTAAGTTTGAACCTGAATTTTGGACACAAACATTCAAACCTTAGCAAGGACAAAGGATCAGGTTGTATTGTCATTTAAGACTTAAAAACCTTCCAAGTGCTGGGTGTGGTGTAAATGCCTGTAATTCTAGCACTTTGGGAGGGTGAGGCCGGAGGATTGATAGCTTGAGGCCAGGAGTTCAAGACTAGCCTGGGAAACATAGCAAGACCACCTAGTCTCTACAAAAAATTTTTTAAAAATTAGCTGAGCATGCTGGCAAACGCCTGTAGTCCCAGCAACTCAGGAGGCTGGTGGGAAGATTGTTTGAGCCCAGGAGTTTGAGGTTGCAGTGAGCTATGATGGTGCCACTGCACTCCAGCCTGGAGAAAAAAAAATTTAAGCCAGTTTTTCTAGCGCCATGAAATTTTCCCTTTCTGCATTCTTGAACAGCTAGAAGTTTTCCTATGGTACTGAGCTAGCTGTCTTATGGCCTCAGAATATATAGGTGAGTGCTAAGATGATAGAAATCAATACCATATTAAAACTACTAATTAGTGTCTTCCATTTTTACTGGGTGCCAAAGGAAATCATCATTTTAATCAACTATTGAATATTTTGTCCCTGCTTGCGTCCTGTAGCACTTGGGTATGTTTGCTTATTTTTGTTATGTTGTTAAATCTATGGGTATCTCCATGACTTCTGGATCTCTTCCTACTTGTTTTTAATGCTATTCTTTAGTTTTGTTCTTAGTTTAGAGAAAGATCTTTGTAATACATTTGTTGGTCTGGTTGCTTAGCAGCTTGCTGTGATTATGTAGCTTGGAACAGATACATTGCCATTTAAAAATCTTGGTTTCTGGCCCTGATTCAGGTATATATTGTATCCAGTCTTAGAATTGAAAACTTTTTTTTGCTATTACAGCAATCATCATATGAGTACAAATGAATAATTCTATAGTATTTGATAGAAAATATCTTTATGTTCACATATTCCTTTGTCCTTTGTGGTTTTTTAAATATTTTTTTTCTTGTCCTCATAACTTGTGGTACAGTCTTATAAATATTGCAAAATCACTAAACCTTCACAAAAGAGTTGTTAAAGTTTTGTATAAGATGCACGAAATGAGGAGCTGGACAAGAATGTTAAAGGAATGGTTAGAGTAGGGTAGACATAAGAGGAATCCTTTAATGGTATTTCTGACACATTCAATTTTCAAATGAAATTTGACTTTTTATTTCACTTCCTTGATAATTTACATAACATCTAGTTGATGTCTGTCTTTCTTGACTGTTAAATGAAGATCTTATTTCCGCAATGTGTTCCCAGTTAAAAGTCTATTTGGAATAGAACTGCCTGTAAGGGCACTGTCTTGACTGTAATATCAGTAGGTCTTTGGCAGGGGGGAGGGGAATAGGATGCCTGAAATTCGCTATACAGAACACAGCAGCAAATGATTTTTCCTTTGCCTTGCTAACTGTGAAGGTGGTGTATTGTCTCTGTGATGCCAGAATGTGGTACAACATAATCTTTTGCCTATACTTAGTATAAATTTATTAGACATAGTCCCTGCACGCAGTCCAGCAGAGAGCCCTGCATTACAGAAATAATTCTTGTGCTGCTGAGCTGGCGATTTCCCTACTTAATCACTTGTATGACGTCATCTGTGCTGTTGGTAGGGAATGTGCTGACCATGTCTTGCATTTTAAGAGGCAGTTGCAACAGGGGCATTAGCTAAAAATAAAATCAAAAATAGACCTTTGAAGTTACATTGTAAGTCTTCAAAGTCCAGAAGGATTAAAGTGGCAAAAGTGTTATGTTAATAAGTTTGACTTGAAGAATCACATTTTGTAGTTGGTCACCTAGTTATCAACTAACATATTCCTTCCTAATTGCTTTCTTCTCTGCTCTGGAGTGATTGCAGTGCAGGGGAAGAAGCAGGTAGGCAGGAAGGAGGTATTATATTCAGAAGTCTGAAATGGTTTTCTAATTTTCAAATGAATCTTTAATAAATTCCAAGTTTGTTTTTATAATAAGGATCACACAAAACATGCATTGAGGGGTTGAAATTCTTACAATGGTAAATGGAAGAGTTCAGATGTTGGTCACTGATAGTCGTACTGGACTGCTATTGAATCCTTTGTTGAGGGGGAAAAAGGCAGGACCCCTAATGTATATTTGATTTCTTGGCAGAAAGATGGATACTACGATGCTGAATTTGCGGAATCTGTTTGAGCAGCTTGTGCGCCGGGTGGAGATTCTCAGTGAAGGAAATGAACTCCGTAAGTCATTCTGAGCTGGCATGTGCAAAGAGAATAAACACATTGCAGATTTGGGTTTTCTACACAGCTGAAGTATGTTCCAGTCTTAAAGTTGGTTTTCATTTGGGTTACCAAAAAGAAAGTGATGGTCACTTATCCATTATCAAAGCCTAATGGGCACTCATTCTGAATAGTCACTAAAGCTTTTTCTATAGTTGCTTTTAAATGGATTTTACCCAGACTTTTTCATTATCAAGGTTCTTTTTCAACTGAATAGTTAGCATTAGTTGCCAATTTCATTTTTGCACCATGAACTGGGAAAACACTCCTGATTTTCCAAGGATGTTGCTTTTTTCTTTAGTAGTTGTCTATATTTTTTTCTTGGGATTTTTCTGTGTTCTATAAACAGTTTTATAGACTGTGTTCTATAAAACATTTTCAATTGAAGAGGGGAAAAAGTCATAATTTCTTTTTGCAGGAGGTACTAGGCATCTGCTTTTGCTACATCATATATTTGATACTTATTAATAAAGGATTGAGATAGGGTGGAGAACTGGGGAGAAAAAGGAAGTGCTGATAGAGGGAACAGTCTGGGAAATAAATTAGCAAGAAAGGAAAATGGGGCTGATTTTGTTGATGTATGTGATCTAAGGGAATTATTCTCTACCAGCTTCTCTTTGTGTTGCCATCCTCTCCTATTTCAGATTTTCATTAATACTTAATTTACTAAATATTGCTCTCAGCTCAGCCTCCCTAGTATAAAAGTAATGCAAGAAGTGTGTCTTAAACTTTTTTAATTTCTATAGTACTTAGTATGACATCTTATGCCATTTAGTATTTTCTTTAAATTGATTGATGTTTTTAATAGCTCTTATCCACTTCCAGGCCTTTCAAAACAATATTCTATTTTCTCTCTCTAATAGCTACTGCATGACCCTGTCATCTGGTACCAGCTCAGTAACCATGATAGCATACTAATTAGGCTTCTCTTTGAGGTCACATCATCTCAGAAAATGGATTGCTTTGGAGTTTAGTGGGGAAGAGTATGGAATAAGTGATTTTAAAACTCAAGTTCATTTAGCAAATATTTTGTGGGAACCTCTCAAATTTTCCAGCACATGTCGAGTTAGGAAAAGGTATCACTAGGTGGTTTCATGGAGGAAAATAGGGTTTGAATTGGCTTTAGATACAGGGTAGGATCCCAATAGGCAGAAATGAAGGGGGCATTTTAGGTCAGGCAACAGCCTATGTGGAAGCAAGAGGGTGTGGGGCTTGAGAGGAATAGGAGTAAGGGGGAGTGACATAATCAGAGTTGTGCTGTGGGAAGATTACCCTGGCAGAGATGTGGGCTGCATTAGAGGTGGAGGCTGGGATACTGACTAGGAATGAGATATTTGCCGTAGCTCAGGAAAGAGGCAGCAAAACCTCTAACTGGATTGGTGGTTATGAAAATGGACATAGGGGGAAATGAGTGGAAGAGATTGTGATGAAAAGACCTCTAAAAGAAGGCAGCTGATAAGATGTGGGGAAAGAGGGATGAGTATGACGTTTAGAGTGTTGATAGTGCTGGCTTTACCCGTTTCATCTGTACAATAGGAATTTAAATGTCTTTGTCGTCTTTGTGGGAGTGCTGTGAGGATTTGGGGATAAATTGAGATACTAGTTGTGAAAATACTTTGAAAGTGATTATGCAAAAAACCCCACAAAAACCCCAAAACCAAGATATTTATTTTGACAGGTATCCTTATTTTATAAGCAAATTTTTGTCTTTCCATTGACTTCTATTATAAATTAGAGGTACATTTCACCCCCCTCTCCAAATCTCTATCTTAGAATGTTGGCTTTTTAGGAACTAAAGTGGCTCAGTGTTTTCTGACTCAAGAATCTTATTTGTTCATCCACCATAGTGTCTGTCTTCTTCTTAGATCATTCAGAATTCCTCCCATGCCTTAATATCTCCTGACTCCTTATTCTTGCCTTTGTTTGTAACTTCACTCCTCTTTCTCTTTTTTATATAGTTTTTTAAAAAGCTAAGTCCAAAGTCACTGGGGAATCAGAATGAAAATAAATGAATAAATAAAATGAGTTTAATAGCCTAAGTATTTTGTTGTCTTTTCTCCAGTCCACATGGTTTTCATGTTATGTTATTTATTTCTGTGTTTTGAGATGAGATGAGGTCTTGCTATATCACTCTGGTTGGTCCTGAACTCCTGGCCTCAAGCCATCCACCCACCTCAGCCTCCCACATAGCTGGGAATACAGGCACATGCCACCATGCCTGGCTCTATTTTTTATTTTATCATAAGCTGCCTGAGCTTTTTTGATCTCATTGGTATATAGGTATAGGTATTTTGCTCTCATTAGGAATAGGTATAACTTGAGATTTATCAGGTGCCTGTTGTGTGCCAGTGACAAAATAGGTTTGTGCTATACTATGTACAGTAGGAGATACTAAAGTGTATGTAACATGGTACCTGTCTTTAAGAAGATTATGGTATTTTAGTTTCAGAGACAGATTTTTTTCTCATGAAACAGAAGATAATACAAGTATCAAAATATATGCTTTGGGGCCGGGCATTGGTGGCTCACGCCTGTAATCCTAGCACTCTGGGAGGCCGAGGCAGGCGGATTGCTCAAGGTCAGGAGTTCGAAACCAGCCTGAGCAAGAGCGGGCAACAAAGTGAGACTCTGTCTCAAAAAAAAAAAAAAAAAAGAAAGAAAGAAATGGAGCCAGACCCCATCTCTACTAAAAATAGAAAAAATTAGCTGAGCATGGTGGTATGCCCCTGTAGTCCTAGCTACTCATGAGACTGAGACAGGAGGATTGTTTGAACCCAGGAGTTTGAGGTTGCTGTGAGTTAGGCTGATGCTGCAGCATTCTAGCCTAGGCAACAGAGCCAGACTCTGTCTGAGAAAGAAAAAAAGCAACAAAACAAGAATTCTTTCCTTGAAATGAACTGATATTTTGTTTGGTTTGAGTTCTGTCTTCATCTAATTTAGACCTAAAATGTATGCCAATTAACAGTGAATAGGAATTAAAGCCCAAATTTAATAAGACTTATCAAAAAGGAGTATCCTAAAGAATAAAGAAACGATAAAAATTAGGTCAGATGAAAATCTTTTTATTCTCAAAATTGTTTTTCAGTTCAGTAAATACTTGAGTATGTATGCAATCTATATTTAGAAATACTATATAATTGACCACAATGTGTAAATAGAAAGTTTTTAGACTGTATTGTTGAAAAGTGTATTTTTTTTTTTTTTTTTTTTTGAGACATCTCGCTTTGTTGTCCAGGCTAGAGTGAGTGCCGTGGCGTCAGCCTAGCTCCACAGCAACCGTCACACCATGCTCCTCGCGCTCAAGGCAATCCTACTGCCTCAGCCTCCCGAGTAGCTGGGACTACAGGCATGTGCTACCATGCCCGGCTAATTTTTTCTATATATATTAGTTGGCCAATTAATTTCTATGTTTAGTAGAGACGGGGGTCTCGCTCTTTCTCAGGCTGGTTTCAAACTCCTGACCTCGAGCAATTCGCCTGCCTGGGCCTCCCAGAGTACTAGGATTACAGGCGTGAGCCACCACGACTGGCCGAAAAGTGTATTTTTTGTTCTTTATTTTCTTGAAGTTGAAGTGTTGCATACATCACAAAAGTATACAAATCATAAATGGTGAATGAATTGATGAATTTTCAGAGTGAACATGGCAAAGAAACTAGCTTGTTTTTTTCCTTTTGTGAATCTATAATGTTGAAATTGTTAAATTTGCCAAAGGATATATTGGTTCTTTTCTTTAACTTAAAAAATAAAATAGTAATGTCTTCCAGACTGTTAATTAAAGCAGCACATTATTGTTTAAAACTATTGGAATTGTGATACTTTACTTTTTTATCCTTGATATTTACATTGTCTAAGATAACTAGGTCATAATATCCTATTTTGCTAAAATTTGTTGTTTACTAAAAACTGAAGTTTCCTTATGACCTGGTTTCTCTAGAATGAGTTGGTATCCTAATTTGTTTGATATTTAGTTAAATTATTTAAATTGCTTAAAATGGACACTCTATTGTGTCTAAACTCTCGGGTTCAGTTCAACTGAGAAAAGTGCACTTACCTCCTAAGAATCTGCTAGCTTTGTGTGACTTTGGCCTAGTTTCTGCTATAAACTAGGTTAGTTTGACCAGCAGCAGATGTATACCTTGGAACCTTCTTCCATGATGCTGGTGGAGAGTGATGATTAGAGGTAGATTAAGGTTAACTCAAAAATTGTAAGACACTTTTGCAAATACCTTGTAGAATAGTCTTTGCCTCTATCAGGTGATAAGAATGAATGCCACCAAGGTTATCATGCTTTGAGTTGGTGCCTTGAAAGCAATGCTTTGCAGACATTTGAAGAGAGTTTACATTCTGCTATCAGTGATGTTCCAAAAGCTAGTGTGATCTTCTCTTCCTGTTTTTCCAGCTGGGATGTTTACATACCCTTCAGGGCAGTGTTAAACAGCAAAAGCAAATTGGCTCTTTACTTTTAAATCAATATTTGTATAATTATATAGCTGAATGGAATTGCAGGCCTAGACATCTGTAATATTAATCTATATCTACTGGAGCATATTATAGCAGTTACATTTGCTGTTTAACATCTCTCTGGCACAGCAATGTGTGACTGTAAAGGAGGCTGTTTTTGTTTTATAGCTGTAACTATCCTGGTGCGTGACAACTACCCCAAAGGTATCCCCCTTTGATTGCCTTGTGTTCAGGAGCTTTCAGTGTTAGTGTTACATCTGGAGCCAGGTGACTAATGAGTTACATATTCCATAGCAGATGCCACTGGCTAAGCCAAAAGTAAGTGGCCTATTGAAACAGGAAATGCTTCCCACAAAGCTCTCATCTAGAGTGGCAGACATATCCAGGATCTGCTCCTGGTTATTTTCAGCTGGATTTGTATATAGTTCAGCTGGTCCTTTAATTATGTATTTGAAGTGAAGCTAACCATTTATTAGAGCAGTTATATTCCGTTTGGTGCTTAAATTATTAAAATTTTCCCCCTTTCCTCAGAATTCATCCAGTTGGCGAAGGACTTTGAGGATTTCCGGAAAAAGTGGCAGAGAACAGACCATGAGCTGGGGAAATACAAGGATCTTTTGATGAAAGCGGAAACTGAGCGTAGTGCCCTGGATGTTAAGCTGAAGCATGCACGTAATCAAGTGGATGTAGAGATCAAACGGAGGCAGAGAGCTGAGGCTGACTGTGAAAAGCTGGTGTGTATTGTTTTCTATGCTAGATTGATGATCGTGGGGAAGGGGGAAGAATCATCTGATAGTTTCCACTTGCCAGATATACCCAGTTTCTTTCATGTTAAAGAACTAAAAGTGACTTATCCTTGACAATTTGCCCTTGATTGGAGCTGAAATTGCAGCCTAGAATCCTGTTTTTCATATTTTGAAATTTAAATTCTTTTCTCCTTTAGACTTGAAACTATTATTTAATAGACAGATTTCAAATGATAGTTTAAAGAATTAGAATTAGAGGGAAAGGCAGGGAAACCATAAGTACTTGATCTGTCACAGGATATTGGTCATCCCTCATTGTTTATTATAAGTGCTATCCAGAATATTGATCCTTATGTGAATAGTTGGTACTTTGTCATTGATACAGGTAAGACAACTCTAACTCTTCCCTTCATCACTGCTCTCTAATTCAGGGTGAGAGGCTAGATGTATTCAACCAGTTGAGCAATGTGACTGACATAGAACACTTTCATTTTGATATGCCAGGGTGGGTCAAGGTGCAAAGGAAAGCCTTTATTACTAGAAGGAACTAATCCATCTTGGTACAATGTTGGATGCCTCAGTAAGCTCAGATTGTCTGGTTCCAGTGCATTATAGTTTTGTATTCATTTTAATGCATTTTGTTCTACCATTTAGAAAGGTGGGTGGCTGCTTTGATCTGTGGAAGCCAATAATTGTCCTGGTAAAATGACACTAAAGTGTTTTTGCTATGTGAAATCTATTTTGGGACTCTGATTTTTCATAACTGTCCTTGGATTAGCAGTTTTGATCCAAAAGGCTTATAGCAGAAACTCCAGTATTCTAGATGGGGTTCATTTTACCAGTCAGAAATCAGAGACACAATCTGGGTTTGATGTGAATTAATATGCTATTGGTGTAGCAGCCTTCCTGAAGGCCCATTTGCATAATGATGTATTTTAATATCTTCTGGTCTGCCCATCCCATAAATTTGAGGTGAAGCTTTCTCCCCTGGCTAGTTATGATATTTTACTCTGCATTGGTCTGTAGGAACGACAGATTCAGCTGATTCGAGAGATGCTCATGTGTGACACATCTGGCAGCATTCAACTAAGCGAGGAGCAAAAATCAGCTCTGGCTTTTCTCAACAGAGGCCAACCATCCAGCGGCAATGCTGGGAACAAAAGGTGGAGGAACTGCATCTGTTGTTATCTGATCACAAGCAACACAGCTGTCAGAAGTTCTTATTATCTGAACTCTTAAATATATTGCTTCTAGAATATGTGCTAAATAAAGCAGAAAAGGATTTTAAGGGTGGGTGGGGAATAAAGGCACAGGGACCTTCCTATTTATTTAATTTAATTTTATTTTTTAACCTTTCCTTAGGATGTTGTTTCACCATGGGTAAAATTTTGATGTTGTTGCTAAATTGCACATCAATAACTAATCCCGAGCATTGCTAAGAAGCCTAAAGGTGAAAGTGGCAGTTCAGCAATACTGTCAGTGTTTACTCTCCAGAGAGCTCTTACAGCTCTTCTGGTATAAAAAGGCTTCTGTGCGCCAAGACCAGACAATAATTTTGGTTCCACTGCAGCACTGTTTAAAATAGTCTCAACCAGGCTTTGAATTTAACACCCTCAATACAATAAATAGGGAAAGGTCAGCACTCTTACAGGTATTTGTTTTGTTGCCTGGTTGTTTTATGGGGTATCTCTATAACTAAGAAGATATACAGGCTTAATTTCTTAAAAAGCCAGTGCTGGGTACTACTCTCTTTTGTAGAAAGCAGCCACAGTTGGAATCAAATTAAACTTCACTGTTATGCTTTGTGAATTTTTGGTAGCCTGTAGTATGAACTCAGCAGGGAATATCACCCGTATCCCTCACTGTGACTTTCACTGTGCTATTATAAGGCCTTTGCTGAAAAAGCAAGTATGCTGCACCTGTACTCATGTATATGCACTCCTCCATAAAAACCATAAAAAGCAACCTACCACAGGGCTTGAGCTTGTTGTCTCCGTAGTGATGGTTTTGCTATGAAATAGCTGATGTTACTTGACCAGCAGCTGAATGTTGGTGGATTTTATGTTCTGCAGTCTTCTGTGTCTAACCCTATATTGTTTTGTTGATCTAGACTGTCAACCATTGATGAATCTGGTTCCATTTTATCAGATATCAGCTTTGACAAGACTGATGAATCACTGGTAATAAACATTTGATCTCTGAGAATTATCTACTTTTCTTACCCCTGCTCTGTCAGGAACATCTCTCCTGTCCTCTCTTCTGAACATCCTTTATTACTGTTTTATTAGTTGATGTGTTATAGATTCTGAGCTAGCAATTGAAAATATAAATCCATGTGCGCTATAAGAGCCTGACTTATATATTTATTTAGATTCTGGAAATTAAAATATAGTATTCAGGATTTGCCATGAGGTTGAGTTTATTTAATGGGTCTCTATGGGCTGCATGTACTAATTGATTATATCTTGACTTATTAAAGCCCCAGTTAGCAATAAAAAAAATTAGCAAGACTATATCAAGGCAAGGTTTATTTGCTGCTCTTGAGGTGAATAGACTTGTACCTTATTTCTGAATAAGTTTGGTTTCTTTTTGTTGTTTGTTTTTTTTTTTTTTACTCCATAAACCTCAACTCGCTGGAACTGCAACATCCTTCTGGCGCGCAGCCGCGTCCCGCCGAGTGTGGACTACAGCTGTGCCACCATGCCATGTAGTTTCGTATGAGTATTTTTAGTTGGCCAATTAATTGTGCTTTCTATTTATAGTGGACAGTTCTTTGCTCTTGACTCAGACTGGTTTGCAACTCCTGACTTGAGACTCCCACTCGGCTCCCAGAGTGGCGTAGGATGTGATAGCAGGCGGGCGGCGTGCACTGGCTTAGTTTGATTTTTTTGTTTGGTTTTGAGACAGGCTCCGCATTTGTTGCTCAGGCTGAGAGTGAGCCATGGCTCAGCCTGGGCTTTCACGCGAACCTCAATCTCCTGGGCTCAAGCAACCCTGCTGCCTCAGCCTCCCACTTAGTTGGTTCTTGAGGAAAGCTTAGTGGTATTTCACAATTAGAAGGAATCCGAGGTCCTGGGACTTTAGCCAGAAGACTGTGATGAGTTTCTAGGCACTATATAATGCTTCGTTCTGCAATGGTTAATGTGTCTAAAGTCTTTGTTACCCTGCCTTTATGGGGCAGTACCTTTCTCTTACCTTATGGTGATGTTTCTGCATAAAAGGTCATCTCTCCTGATATTTTAGTCTTTAATGTTTAGGAGACTGGTAGTCTCTAGATTTGTGTTGTTGCTGGCTGAAAGTTAGCAAACAAAACAGTAAATCAGAGGAAGTTATTGGTAGTTGGTTTTCTGATATAGCAAAAGAAGTGATGACTACTTGTTACATGGCTAGGAGTTTTTTGTCCAAGTTCAGAGTTTTGACTAGGAAAAAAAGTGGCCATTTGATATATATAAATATTAGACGTCACCTTTTTAAAATAAGGAATGATATAGAATAGGTCTGAGATATATAATAAAACTAGACTGTATTATCAGCTGATTTTTGAACTAGACCCATGATATGATATCTGTTGTAACTGAAGCTGAATCAGACAACCAGTAACTTAATTACTCGACTATGAATTGGGGAAGTTAAATTTATTTAGCCAAGCTACTATTTGCTATATGTAACTGTTTCTAGATGCTGTGTTTTCAGGGATGATCAGGAGTAAGGAAATCACAGGTAGCTACTAAAATGAATGCAAATAGTTAAAAGAAATGAAACTAGACTGCAGTAAAAGACAAATCATTCTTCAGTGGTAAACATCATTTCTTAAGGCCCTAGTTCCTAAACTAGAAATTTTTAAGTGGCAATATTGTACAGAACATCTGATTAGACAATAGCAATCCCTTAAGGGCAAGGATCACATCTAACACTATGAGTATAATGCCTAACATTCTGTAAGTTCTAAAACTAATTACAAAAATAATCAGAAATAAAGGACCAGGCACCGGAAATAATCACGACAAAAGTTGATTCTTTAACCTTTTCTTGCCTCTGTAGTATTGATTCCTGATTCTATTATAATAGCTTCAATTTTTCAAAGAAAGCATGTTAACTCACTATAGCTCTATAACTATAACACTTGAGGCCTTCCCTCCCCACTCCCTGAATTATAAATCAGGTAGTCTGATTCAAGAAGCCTTTAACTTTCTCTGTAAATTTATTTGCACAAGGTTTGGGGGGGGGGGCTAATTAAGGAAAGAAATTAATACAGTGTAATTGTCAACAGGATTGGGATTCTTCTTTGGTGAAGACTTTCAAACTGAAGAAGAGAGAAAAGAGGGTATGTATGGTTACATAGTAACAATAAAAGTTTTCTTTGGAAATTTCTCTATGGTACTGCACTCCTGACATGTTGCTCTAGCCATTGTTAAACAACACATACTACAAATGAATTCCCGTTGTGGGGGTTGTGTTGATATTTATTGAAATAGTAACTCAGGACAGGATCCTGTCCAATTTCACTATTCTAGCTGCATCTCAGTTCATTCATACAGTAGAAAGTATATACTTAAGTCTGTTTTCAGTTGTCATATGAATTTTTACACATGACTTTTGTGCTCTAATATAAACTTCAGATGAAATGTGCATATAATGGGATATATAGAGATATATCTGTGAGTGCTTGTTTAGGCTACTTAATCTGTTTCCAGAGACTTTATGTCCTTAGATAGGATTACAGCTTTACTTTTTCTGGTGCTGTCATCTAAATTTCTCAAAAGGTTGCTCATTTTTTTTAGGGCATTTTTCTGTGGAAATGGGCAATGAGAGAGATTACATTGTTTGTTATTTACTGTAGCCCTGGTGTGTGGGTTTTGCATCCAAGTTGTCTGGTGGAATAATTTTATCTTCTGTGCTTTAGGTCCACTTGGCACTAAAGTTATTGGTCTTTGCTCTTTCTCTAGCGCTCTAATAGCCGACAGTTTGTTGATGGTCCCCCTGGACCTGTAAAGAAAACTCGTTCCATTGGCTCCACAGTAGACCAGGTAAGAAGAGTTAGGCCAGGAGAACTGTTGTCTTGAACACACCAGAGATCAGTGGTCCCAAGCATTCAAACTCCTCTGAGTCAAAATTGCAGTGTTGCTTTGAGAGAGATTTTGGTGAGAGTTTTTCTATATGAATGAGAGTTTTATCTATATGAATGAAATTAAGTAAACAACTGTCAGCTTTATGTTTGCTTAAGTGTGAGATTTCAGCTTAAGAGTGTTTTAGACTGAGATCTTAAGTCTTAATTAAGACTCAGAAATTTTTCACCCACTACAAAATACCCTATAGTGGAGAAAAGTTAGATTCTTTGTGTTTATCCTTCTCTCATCACTGTTTTTATTGCAGGGAAATGAATCCATAGTTGCAAAAACTACAGTGACTGTTCCCAATGATGGTGGGCCCATTGAAGCTGTGTCCACCATTGAGACTGTGCCATATTGGACCAGGAGCCGAAGGAAAACAGGTCCATTGCATTTGTAACTAAATTGCTTGTATAAAACAGCTGGTAAAATTTGGTAAAGTTGGTTCCTTAAAACCCTCCTGAGGCAGGGATTGGATATATTGGGTAGTTTCTTACTGGTGCCTACTGAGGACAAGAGAACTGCTTGCGTTATGCTTTACCTTTGGATTGCTGGGTTCCTCTTCCTGTGTCAGTTTGTACGTGTAACTAGTATTTCCTTAGAAACTTGTGTTTTTTTGTGTGTTGTTTGTTTTTTTTTAGAGACGTAGGTCTTTCGCTTGGTGTTGCCGCCCCCAGCGGTGTCGAGAGTGAAGTATAGCCGTGGCGTCAGCCTAGTCTCACAGCAACCTCTAAACTCCTTGGGCCTTCGATGTGATCCTTTCATGCCTCAGGCCTCTCCTCTCTCGGGGTAGCTGCGGGTGAACTAACAGGCCATCGCCCACCGCCCTGCCCGGCTAATTTTTCTACCATCATTATATATATCAGGGTTGGGCCAATTAGTCTTTCTAGTTTATAGTAGAGACGGGGTCGTGCTCCGATATAGCTCAGGGCTGGTTTTGGAACTCCCTGACCTTAGAGCAATCCGCCTGGCATTCGGCCCTCCATAGGAGGCTGGCAATTTCCAGGCTTGATCGTGCGCCACAGCTGCCCCGTGACGCCTCCTTGAAACTTTTTATTTTTGGCATAGTTGTATTACTCCTGGTTTTGGTAAACACATTATTGTTTATCAGTTATACTTGAAATTTGCCGGGGCTAAAATTCAGAAGAGCAGGACACGTTAAGAACACAAAGCATTTAATAGTTGTTGGTTTTCTAGGATCTTATTACAGCCTGGAACCAGTGACTCTACCCTGGAGCAGCAGGGCAGCCTGGAGCCAAAGAACTCGGAGAAAGACAATGGAGGCTCACGCCATCAGATTTGATGGAGGATGCACGCTGCATGACTTTGTCTCTAGACGGTAATCTTCGTGACTCTGCTCCTTCCTTGTTTTGGGCATGCTTTACATTTTTTATTATAAAGTTAGCAATATATCAGGAAACAAACTTAAAGACTTTATAGTGTATAAAGTTAAGATGTCCGGCGGGCACGTGGAGTGCGGGGCACGATTGCTTGAAGGTCAGGAGGTTTGAAACCAGCCGAACAAGAGCGCGACCTGTCCTCTACTATTAAATAGAAATCAATTAATTTGGCCAACTCAATATTTAGTAAGGACGGAGAAAAAAAAATTAGCCGGCGCCATGGTGGCACATACCTGTTAGTCCCAGCACTCAGCCTTGGTGGCTGAGGCAGGGATGGCCGACAGGATTGCTTGAGTCGAACATTTGAGTTCTGTGACCTAGGCTGATGCCAGGGCACATCACTCTAGCACTGAGGCAACAAAATGTGAGACTCTATCTCAAAAAAAAAAAGTTAATGGGCCGGGCGTGGTGCGCTGCGCCTGTGAATCCTAGCAGTCTGGCGAGGCCGAGAGATGAGGCGGGATTGCTCGAGGTCAGGAGTTCGAAACCAGCCCTGAGCAAGTTTCGGAGACCCATCTCTACTATAAATAGAATAAATTAAATTGGGCAACTAAATATATATATATACAAAAAAAAAAAAATTAGCCGGGGCATGGTGGCGCATGCCTGTAGTCCGCAGCTCTTTGGAGAGCGAGGCCAGCAGGGATTGCGTTGAGCCATTGAGATTGAGGTTGCTGTGAGCTAGGCTGGACGCCATGGCACTCACTTAGCCAGGGCAACAAGCGAGACTCTGTTCTCCAAAAAAAAAAAGTTAAATGTCAATTCCATCCTTTTTCCCAATCTTGAGGGCTCAGAAGAGTTAACTGACTTGGTGAACCTCATGTAAATGGGCCAGATTTAAATCGATTTTCCTGTTCCTTGTACAAGTACTTCCACTACTATACACTGTTACCTTCCACTAGTGATGTCTCAGGTGGAGTTACTTAACCTTTTTTTGGCTTTGTTTTTCATTAAAATAAAAAAACAAAACCTACTTATAGGATTTTGTGAGAATTACATGTATAAAGGACTTGAAAGTTTTTTGGCCATACTAAGTATTCAATAAATGTTGTTGATGGTGATAATAATTTTCTAATTCATATCGCTCTTTCTGTCTGGCTGATGTTATATCTCCAGGTCATTAAACCTGAATCCTGTGTTCATGTGGGAAGGCGGATAAAATTTGGCAAGCTCTCTCTCAAATGTCGAGACTGTCGTGTGGTCTCTCATCCAGAGTGTCGGGACCGATGTCCCCTTCCCTGCATTCTACCCTGATAGGAACACCTGTCAAGATTGGGAGGTATGAGATTATGGGAGCCATCATTGTTTTATGGCTTCTTTATTAGCTTTTCAAAGCTTAATATCAAGTTTTTGTTCTCAAATTAATGGTGCTAAATATATTTCCTCTGTGAATAAATGCATAGAAATTGTAAAATGTTTACTGTAGCAGAGTCCTGTTTGGGGTTTAATTTTTTTTTTTTTTTTTTTTTTTGAGACAGAGTCTTGCTTTGTTATCCAGGCTAGAGTGAGTGTCATGGCGTCAGCCTAGCTCACAGCAACCTGAAACTCTTGGGTTCAAGCAATCCTGCTGCCTCAGCCCCCCAAGTAGCTGGAACTACAGACATACGCCACCATGCCCGGCTAATTTTTTTTTTTTTTATATTAGTTGGCCAATTAATTTTTTTCTATTTTTAGTAGAGACGGGGTCTTGCTCTTGCTCAGGCTGGTTTTGAACTCCTGACCTCGAGCAATCCGCCCATCTCAGCCTCCCAGAGTGCTAGGATTACAGGCGTGCGCCACCGCGCCCGCTGGGTTTAATTTTTTATTTTTGTTTTTGTTTTTAAAAGAGACAGGGTCTTGCTCTATTGCCCAGGCTGGAGCGTAGTGGCTTGATTATAGCTTGCTGCAACTTTGAACTCCTGGGCTCAAGTGATATTCCTACCTCAGCCTCCTGAGTAGCTGGGATTATAGGTGTACACCACCATACCTGGCTATTTTAAATTTTCTGTAGAGATAGAGTCTTGCTATATTGTCCAGACTGGTCTCGAACTCCTGGCCTCAGGTGATTCTTCTGCCTTGGTCTCTCAGAGTGCTAGGGTTACAGGCATGAGCCACTGCACCTGTTTGGGTTTGTCTGTTTGTTTAATAAGCTTTCTAAACCAAACTCTTCTTTTCTCCTTGTCTCTTTGCCCTTCCCCTTTCTCCTTTCCTCCTTTTCCCTTCTTTCCCTTTCCTTATCTTCCCTCTCCTATACTCCCGCTCCCCATCCTATTCTATTTTGGAAAATTTCAAGCATATACAGAAGTAGAGAGGTTGTTGTAACTAACTCTTTGTTCCTATCACTTAAACTTCGTGTTACTAACTCATGTCCATTCTTGATTTATCAATACCTTCATCTCCTCCTCTCAACTCTGTCCTGTGAATTATTTTAAAGAAAATGCCATCAATCATATAATTTGATCTATGAATATTCTTGCTCATATGTTAGAGATATTCCATACTAGGCTATCAAGATTAAGTTGCTTATTTCAAAAATCAGTTAAATCCATTAAGAAATTATTTATTATACAAGCAACGTTAGCAAGAATCAAAACAAAATGACTGCCTACCCATCAGCAAATCAAATGTTATTTTCCCTTAATCTTAGGAGTTCTTCTCTGTGCATATAAAGTTTTTACAGATTTTCTGTACTCTAATACAGAACCGTGGAGTTCTCCCCTACAGGTAGGTTTGTATTATGATAAACTGTGAAATGTCTTAAATAATTTTTTAAGTGAGAATAATGTAAGTGTAAAAAAAGTTTTTCTTTTTTAGAATAATAAATTAGTTTGTATTAAAGGTCATACTTAAAATCTCATTATTGACTGCTTTCTGCTGACTCTGGGTAGATGACAAGAAAGTTAAGTATAGTGGTGGTCTTATTCCTTGTTCATGTAAGGGTGTGGTATATCTGATCATAAATCAGTCCTGGTGTGGTGGTATGAAAAGTAACCAAGAATCTCCGTTTTTTTGTTTGTTTGTTTGTTTTTGTTTTTTTGAGACAGAGTCTCACTCCCTTGCCTGGGCTAGAGTGCCGTGGCGTCAGCCTACCTCACAGCAACCTCAAACTCCTGGGCTCAAGCAATCCTATCTCAGCCTCAGGAGTAGCTAGGACTACAGGCGTGCACCACCATGTCTGGCTAATTTTTTCAATTTTTAGTTGTTTAGCTAATTTCTTTCTACTTATAGTATAGATGGGGTCTTGCTCTTGCTCAACTGGTCTCGAACTTCTAAGCTCAAACGATCCACCCACCTCTCCATCTGCCTCGGCCTCCCAGAGTGCTAGGATTACAGGTGTGAGCCACCATGCCTGGCCAATAATCTCTGTTTTTAGCGTATGCTTTGTGAATAGGAACTTAAAAGCAGACAAGATGTCTCAATCTAAAGTATTAGTCTGGAGGTGGTTCTTCACACCTGGTCTTCACCTGTTGGTGAAGTGCTATAAATCTAAGTGATGTAAATAATAATTTAAAGCTCTTTTTGCAGGGAATGCTGACAGATTTTGTGTCTCAGACTTCTCCAATGATCCCCTCCATTGTTGTCCACTGTGTAAATGAGATTGAGCAAAGAGGGCTGACTGAGGTAAGAGTCAACCCCAGAAGAGGGTGAATTCATTATTTGTGTTAATAATTTAAGATATTCTTAAATAAAAATATCATCTTGATGATAGACAGGCCTGTATAGGATCTCGGGCTGCGACCGTACAGTAAAAGAACTGAAAGAGAAATTCCTCAGAGTGAAAAATGTACCTCTTCTCAGCAAAGTGGATGATATCCATGCTATCTGTAGCCTTCTAAAAGACTTCCTTCGAAACCTCAAAGAACCCCTTCTGACCTTTCGGCTAAACAAAGCTTTTATGGAAGCAGCAGGTAAGGGCAGATCTTGATACTTGAATGTGAGCTCCACCAGGGCAGGAATTTTTGTATTCTTTATGGCTTTAGTCCCAGCCTTGTTTGGTGCCTGAAACATAGGTCTCAAATAGTTTGATGGATGGATAACTGTATATATGTCCCCTGTAACTGTCTTCTTCCTTACTAAATGGTATGGGGTATTAATAGGTTTTTTGTTGCACTTGTGTTTTGGTCAAGTTTTAGGCTGTGCTTTTGAAGTTGCAGCCATCTTTGATCTCTTTTCCTGATACTCCACATCTAATCCATTGTCAAAGCCTGTTAGAGTCTTGTAAACTGTATCTTAAATTTGATATTTGTCAAGAATGATAATGTAAGTACTACCACCACTCTTGACATACTCTCACCCCAGAGTTTTATAAGAACCTACTAACTGTCTTGTTTTACTCATGCCCTCTAAAGTATGATCTTCATACAGGAGCTATAGTAGTCCTTTTGAAATTTAAATTAAATGATGTCACTTCTGTCCTCAGTATCCTCCAGTGGTTTCCCATCACTTTCAGAATAAAGTCCATAGTCTTAAACATGGCCAAAAAGACCCTACATGATTTGGCTCCTGGTTATGTCTTCAACATCATTTCTTTTTCTTGGAGACACAGTCTTGCTCTGTCACCCTGGGTAGAGTGCAGTGGTGTCATCTTAGCTCACTGCAACCTCAAACTCCTGGGCTCAGGCGATCCTCCTGCCTCAGGCTCCCAAATAGCTTGGACTACAGGCATGTGCCACAATGCCCGGATGATTTTTCTATGTTTAGTAGAGATGGGGTCTCACTCTTGTTCAGGCTTGTCTCAAACTCCTGAGCTTAACTGATCCTCCTGCTTCAGCCTCCCAGAGTGCTAGGATTATGGGCATGAACCACCATGCCCGGCCTCTCCAACATCATTTCAGTGAACACTCTTCCTTTCTTTCCTTCTTCTCCTGTTACACTGAAATTTTTGCATTTCTTAGGACATACCAAGCTTACTCCCTACCTTGAGGTCTTCACATTTGTTGTTGTCTCAGCCTGGAATGCTCTTACACTAGATATCTGTATGGCTTGCACCTTTATTTCTTTTAGGTTCCTCTTCAGATGTCTTGTTTTTTTTTTCAGACTCATAATTGGCCCAGAACCTCTTCAGATAACTTGTCCTCAGAAACACCTTTCCTGACCACCTTGTCTAAATTAATGGCTCCTGTTTCTTTCTATCTTATTGCCTGCCTTATTTTCTTTATAATATGTATCACTCTACCTGACATGTATTTGCATTTTGACTGACTCCTCCAATAGAATGTATGTTCCATATGGCAAGGACTTTGTTTATACTTCTGCTTTGTCCTCAGCACTTAGAATAGTACCTGGCACCTAGTAGGCCCTTAAATATGTTTTATAAATGAATACCCTCTTGATAATTGTAGTCACTGCAATTGTATGCTTGTCTTCCTAGCATATGGGTTGCCAGCTACTTTCCCTAACTGCAAGGGCTGATTTTTTTAAAAGTTCTGACTTCTAATATTGAGCTGTTGGCCAGTATCCTGCTTGTTAATGAAACTAGAGTCTGATGTAGTCATGAATCCAATCAGAAGTTGCAGAAGCTTACTGTATAGATGAGACTTTGGGGTCGATTACTTGGAAGCCTGCTGTCAAGGGAAAGAAGTCTAGGCCTCTTGGTGCTTTCCTTTCATTTACAGAAATTACAGATGAAGACAACAGTATAGCTGCCATGTACCAGGCTGTTGGCGAACTGCCCCAGGCCAACAGGGACACATTAGCTTTCCTCATGATTCACTTGCAGAGGTGAGTACAGCAGAAACTTGTTCTGGGAGTTAGGGAATTTTCCAGGGGGAAGATAATCTGGGTTGGGTGTTAGGAGTGTGAGAGGTGAATTGTTTTTTTCTAGAATTTATACTTTGGTCTGCATTTAAGTGGAGGAGCAAGTCTTCTAATTTAATACTCTTTTGTTTAGAGTGGCTCTGAGTCCACATACTAAAATGGATGTTGCCAATCTGGCCAAAGTCTTTGGCCCTACAATTGTTGCCCATGCTGTGCCTAATCCAGACCCAGTGACAATGTTACAGGACATCAAGCGCCAACCCAAGGTAGATGTGTGTGTATCATATATGTGAACTTGTGTGACTTGATAACTTGAAATGTAAGTCCTGAGCTTTGGAAGTTTGCTAACGTATTTGGTGGCTTTTAGGTGGTAGAGCGCCTGCTTTCATTGCCATTAGAATACTGGAGTCAATTCATGATGGTGGAGCAAGAGAACATTGACCCCCTGCATGTCATTGAAAACTCAAATGCCTTTTCAACACCACAGACACCAGATATTAAAGGTAAGTCTTAAGTTATGCTTCTTCAGAAACTTGATTCTCTTTTTAGTTTTAGTCATGGGTCTTCTCCCTGCCTTTGATAGAGCTGTTTGAAATTCATATTCTTCAATAAAAGTTAAATTTATTTTCAAAATTCTAAGATTAAAGGAAAATTTTTATTATTCTATCATCCTGATATATTTTTTTTCACTTTAACATGTTCTCCTTCCTTTACCCATATGGGTATATATTTTTTCTTTTTTTTTTTTTTTTTTGAGACAGTCTTACTCTGTTGCCTGGGCTAGAGTGCCCTGGTGTCAGCCTAGCTCACAGCAAACTCAAACTCCTGGGCTCAAGTGATCCTTCTGCCTCAGCCTCCCGAGTAGCTGGGACTTCAGGCATGCGACACCATGCCCAGCTAATTTTTTTAATAATTAGTTGCCAATTCTCTTTCTTTCTTTCTTTCTTCTCTTTCTCTTCTTCTTCTTTCTTTCTTCCTTCTTCCTTCCTTCTCTCCTTCTCTTCTTTCCTTCTTCTCTCCTTCCTTCTTCCTTCTCCTTCTTCCTTTCCTTTCAAAAACTATCTCCTTTCCTTTCCTTTCTTCCTTATCTTCAAAAAACTTCCTTTCCCTTTCTTTCCTGTCTTTCTTTCTCTTTCCTTTCCTTTCCTTTATTCCCTTTCTCTCTCCTTTCCTTTCCCTTCCTTTCTGTCTATTTACAGAGTCTGCTTTGTTGCCAGATTAGAGGAGTGCCATGCACAGCCTAGCTCACAGCAACTCAAACTCCTGGGCCAAGCACTCCTCCTGCCTCAGCCTCCCAAGTAGCTGGGACTACAGGCATGCGCCACCATGCCGGCTAATTTTCTATATATATTAGTGAACAATTAATTTCTTCCTATTTTAGTAAGGATCGGGCTTGCCTTGCTCAAACTGGTTTTGAACTCCTGACCTCGAGCAATCCACCTGCCTCGGCTTCCCAGAGTGCTAGGATTACAGGCGTGAGCCACCACGCCCGGCCAATTTCTTTCTATTTTTAATAGAGATGGGGTCTCGCTCTTGCTCAGGCTGGTGTTGAATTCCTGAGCTCAAACAATCCTGCCCACCGTGGCCTCCCAGAGTGCTAGGATTACAGGCATCAGCCACCGTTTTTGTTTGTTTGTTTGTTTGAGATAGGGTTTCACTCTGTCAACCAGGAAGGAGCACAGTGGCATGATCGTAGCTCACTGTAACCTGGAACTCCTGGGCTCAAGTGATCCTTCCACTTCCGCCTACTGAATAGCTACAGGCATATACCACCATCTCCAGCTAATCTTTAAAAATTTTTTATAGAGACAGGGTCTCATTATGTTGCCTAGTCTTGCCTTGAACTCCTGGCCTCAAGTAATCTTTCTACGTTGTCTTCCCAAAGTGCTGAGATTATAGGTGTGAGCCAGCAAGTCTGGCCTCAAATTCCTTTTTAAGGCAGCATATTGTTTCTTCTAGTGTAGGTAAAAGTCAAATGTTTAAGTGTGAGAGTTATGAAGTTTAGAGTTAGAGAATGATCTAAATCAAGAAGTAAATTACTCAGCTATTCATTGAGTAGTTAGCTGCCTGCCTAGTTCAAAAGATATATTAATGTGTTATAAATGATGACAAAAATGATCTCTAGGACTTTACTAGGGGACTTACTAGGGGATCTCTGGGACTTTACTAGGTGTCTAACCTTAGCTCTTAAGTTCTTCAGCTTTTAGTCAGCTTATAACTGGCCATCTAAAAGGGTGCTTTCATTTCCCCCCTCTCTTTTCAAATTAATTATGTCTGAACTTTGACTGAAGTGAGTTTACTGGGACCTGTAACCACTCCTGAGCATCAGCTTCTCAAGACTCCTTCATCTAGCTCCCTGTCACAGAGAGTACGCTCCACCCTCACCAAGAACACTCCCAGGTATGCAAAATTATCCTTCTTAGGAAATAAAAAATGCTTCCTTAGACTTCTTTCCTATTATATTGAAAAATTGATTTAGATTTTAGCTAGCAGCTAGACTGGGAACTTGGAGCCATAGGATCCTTTCTTTAAAAAGGGTCTCAGAGCTTTTACTATTTTTCCTCTCTCATTTCATTTTACTGTATCTTACAAAATAGTTACCTACGGTTTCCTACTTTTAGTGGATTATATCAAGTAATATTGTTTATTCACCATTTTGTATATAATACTTTTTCATTTCTCTTTTTTTTTGTAGATTTGGGAGCAAAAGCAAGTCTGCCACCAATCTAGGACGACAAGGCAACTTTTTTGCTTCTCCAATGCTTAAGTAAAGTCACATCTACCTATTAATTCCCAGCATTGACTGACTATAAGAAAGGATACACCTGTACTTTCAGCTGTGCTGCCTCCTATACTTACTACTACTTTTAGCATTCTCTAGGCTTTTTAAATCAAGTTTAACTGTGCACAAGGGTTTTATTAAAACTATATTATCTCCCTGTCCTTCTCTTTAACATAATATCAGCACCTTATGCTGGTCATTGTTGGGAGCTTTTAGATAGGAGATCTTTCCATGGGTAGAAGGGGTAGTATGGAATTTGTTGTGATTCTTTTTGGAGCAGGGGGTATCCCTTTGGCTTAAAGCCAAATGCTGCTTATGGAATGACCTTTCTCTGGTATCATTTAGAACTGATTTCCATGAGACAATGACCAAAACTACTCCTCTCTGGTAACACTGACTTATCTCAGGGTGGGAAGTGGGAAGGCGGTTAAAGAAAGGGTTGGACTTAGGAAAGGTTGAATTTAGGATGGCTCCTTCTGAGAACTCAGAAGTTCCCCTTCTCCCATTATGAATTGAGATATATTGCATGGAACCTTCATAAAAATGGGATAGGTTGAGGATGGAACTAACAGTTGGGAGTATGCTTAGCTTTAATTTTGATTGATTAGATCTTAATAGTTAAGTGGCACAACCTTATAAATGTGATAGTACAGCTTGTATTTATCTCTAATGGGCCACTGGCTAGATTTTGGGTTTGATTGGTGTCTAAACCAGTTTATTCATCTAAAGTTGAGTTCATTCTGTTGCTTGACTTCCCCCACCAACCTTGTCCAGTAGAGCCCTACTTCTAAAGGTCAGTATGTCTATTTGGCATCCCAACTAACAATTAAGAGTAGGCTGTAAGGGAAGATTGTCAATATTTCATGTGGTAAGAAAAGCCACAGTCATTTTGTCTTGGCACTTTAGATGCTCAGATTTTCCCATGGAACATAGCCACATCACAATAAATGTGAGCTTTTTCTTCTATTAGAATTATTCTCAATGTCTGTAAAAATGGTTTTCTTTTATAGAATTTTTCTCAACTCTTACTGACCCTTGTCTGTAAAACACATGTTTGGAATGATATTTGGAAAAAAGTAAATAGATATTTCAAAATGAACACAAAGTCTGTTTTCTTGTACTGGAAGGTAACCTTCAATGCGTTTTAGAAAATATTTTCCTTCAAAGTGTCTTGAATCTGTTGTTAATCTCCATTTCCCATACTCTGGACACCCCCTTCAACCTTACCACCACTAGGAGTTTGTCCCTTCATTTCATTTCTCCTTCAGCGTCTGTCTTTGTCCAAACTGGAATCCTAGATTTTTCTTTTCTTTTCCTTTTTTTAAGACAGAGTCTCACTCTGTTACCTGGGCTAGAGTAACATGGCGTGAGCCTAGCACATAGCAACCTCAAACTCCTGGGCTCAAGCAATCCTTCTGCCTCAGCCTCCTGAGTAGCTGGGACTACAGACATGCGTCACCATGCCTGGCTAATTATTAATTTTATTTACTTATTTATTTTAGACAGAGTCTCTGTTGCCTGGGCTAGAGTGCTGTGGCATCAGCCTAGCTCACAGCAACCTCAAACTCCTGGACTCAAGCAATCCTTCTGTCTCAGCCTCCCGAGTAGCTGGGACTACAGGCATGCGCCACCATGCCTGGCTAATTTTTTCTATATACTTTAGTTGGCCAATTAATTTCTTTCTATTTTTAGTAGAGATAGGGTCTCTCTTGCTCAGGCTGGTTTCAAACTCCTGGCCTTGAGTGATCCGCCCAGGCGTGAGCCATTGCGTCTGGCTTTTTTTTTTTTTTTAAAGACAGAGTTTTGCTCTGTCACAGGGGCTAGGGCATAGAGTGTGGTGGCATCAGCCTAGCTCACAGCAACCTCCAACTCCTGGGCTCAAGCAATCCTCCTGCCTCAGCCTCTGAGTAGCTGAGACTAGAGAGGCAGGCCACCACACCTGCCTCTTGTTTCTTTTTTTTTTTTGAAACAGAGTCTCACTCTATTGCCCGTGCTAGAGTGCCGTGGTGTCAGCCTAGCTCACAGCTACCTCCACTCCTGGGCTCAAGGGATCCTTCTGCCTCAGCCTCCTGAGTAGCTGGGACTACAGGCATGCGCCACTGTGCCTGACTAATTTTTTTCTGTGTATTTCTAGGTGGCCAATTAATTTGTTTCTATTTTTTTAGTAGAGACAGGGGCTTGCCCTTGCTCAGGCTGGTTTCAAACTCCTGACCTCGAGCAATCCACCCACCTTGGCCTCCCAGATTGCTAGGATTACAGGTGTGAGCCACCAAGCCTGGCCAATTTTTTCTAATTTTAGTAAAGATGGGGGTCTGTCTTTTGCTCAGGCTGGTCTTGAACTCCTGACTTCAAGCAATCCTCCCAGAGTGCTAGGATTACAAGAGGCTTAACCCACTGTGCCTGGCCAGGAATCCCTAGATTTATCCTCTCCATGTGATCTTTTTTGAAGAAACAGTCACATGTTGCTTAATAACAGGGATACATTCTCAGAAATACATTGTTATGTGATTTCAACGTGTGAACATCAAGAGTGTATTTATACAAACCTAGACATTATAGCCTATTATACACCTAGGCTGTAGCCTATTGCTCCTAGGCTACAGACCTGTACAGACTTACTGTACTGAACACTGTAGGCGATTGTAACACCATGGTAAGTATTAGTGTATATAAACCTAGAAAAGGTACCGTACGGTAAGGTCGGGTGCGGTGGCTCACGCCTGTAATCCTAGCACTTTGGGAGGCCGAGGCGGGCGGATTGCTCAAGGTCAGGAGTTTGAAACCAGCCTGAGTGAGACCCTGTCTCTACCAAAAATAGAAAGAAATTAATTGCCCAACTAAAAATATATATATACAAAAAATTAGCCTGGCATTGGTGGCACATGCCTGTAGTCCCAGCTACTCGGGAGGCTGAGGCAGGAGGATCGCTTGAGCCCAGAAGATTGAGGTTGCTGTGAGCGAGGCTGACGCCATGGCACTCACTGTAGCCTGGGCAACAAAGTGAGACTCTGTCTCAAAAAAAAAAAGAAAAGGTACGGTAAGAATACAGTATTATAATCTTACAGGACCACTGTTGTATACGGGATCTTTTGTTGACTGAAACATCATTTTGTGGTGCATGACTGTACTTTAGACAAAAAACAAACTTTTTAAACAAATCTCTAGGGATCAGAATGGTACAGATTTAAAAAAAGTTACCTCTGGCTGGCTGGCTGCCTGGAACATCCTTCACTGCTGGAAGTGACTCTGGAGTGAGTTGGGATGATTAACTGAGGGCACCTGCATTTGGAACTCTGAAGCTGGTGAACATAATGTATCTGAGATTGAACGTAAACAGTTGCAGGCTTAATATGTAACCGTGGAGAGAGGAGGCAACCTGCTGGCTTTTTTCCCAGGAGGGGGCAGCTCTCACAGCAGGGCCCATATGCCTCAGCAAATTGACAGAGGATGGGTCTCATACCCCCCTTCATGCACATGCCTGCTATGCTTTATTTTTTAAAACTCTGTCCTAGATGCTACCTCTTTTCTTATGTCTTTGCAAACCTAGTGTTGGCCTGGTTCCATATTTACTGTTCTGTAGTATCTATCTCCCCAAGATGCCTTTTAGGTCACTAGTGTAGAGGAAGCAAATGGATTGTGTAACATTAGTGAAAGCAAGACTACCCTATGCAGGAACTGATGGTCCATTAACGAAAAAGGAAATGGTCCTTTGAGTCAAAAGTTGGCAGCCATTTGCTTAGTTTTTGGTCTAGGCCAAGAGACCTTAGCCGTGAAAATATTTCTGATATTAGCAAAGGGAAATATGTGCCCACCTTCAGCTTCTTTAATAGTACTTCATGTTGTGCTTCACACCTGTAATCCTAGCATTCTAGGAGGCCAAGATGGGAGGATCACTTGAGGTCAGGAGTTCCAGGCCAATCTGAGCAAGAGTGAGACCCTGTTTCTACAAAACAGAGAAAAATGAGCTATGTTCCTATAGTCCCAGCTATTCGGGAGGCTGAGGCAGGAGGATTGCTTGAGCCCAGGAGTTTGAGGTTGCAGTGAGCTATGATGATGCCACTGTATTCTAGCTGGGACAACAGAGTGAGACTATCTCAAAAAAAAAAAAAAAAAAAGGTGCTTCATGTGAAATAGTTTGATGTTCAATTTTATTTCCTTGATGTGAAAGCTATGGAAAGGGCTTCAGTGCTTTGGAATGGCTGTCACCCCTTTGTTACTCCTAACCCTTCTGACGCTGCCTCTTACTCTGCCTTTAATGCAGTTTAGCTTTATCCCATTTGCTAATAAATTGAATCTTTAAATTGTGGTGTTTACTTCCATTCTCCTCTATCTCTGTAAGAAGAGCAACTATTTGGGTTTATTACTGGTGTGTAATGATTTCACCTTAAGAAGGCAAAATTTTGGCCGGGTGTGGTGGCTCACGCCTAGAATCCTAGCACTCTGGGAGGCCGAGGTGGGCGGATTGCTCCAGGTCAGGAGTTCAAAACCAGCCTGAGCGAGACCCCATCTCTACTAAAAATAGAAATTAATTGACCAACTAAAAATATATATACAAAAAAAAATTAGCCAGGCATGGTGGCACATGCCTGTAGTCCCAGCTACTCAAGAGGCTGAGGCAGCAGGATTGCTTGAGATTGTGAGGTTGCTGTGAACTAGGCTGATGCCACGGCACTTACTCTAGACTGGGCAACAAAGTGAAATTCTGTCTCAAAAAAAAAAAAAAAAGGTAAAATTTTTTTTGAAACCTGGGTAGAGTGCCGTGATGCTGTGATATCATCTTAGCTCTCTGAGGGCTCAAACTCTTGGGCTGAAGCCATCCTCCTGCCTTGGTCTCCGAAGTACCTGGGACTCTAGAGACGTGCTATCACACCTGGCTAATTTTTTCTATTTTTGGTAGAGACTGAGTCTCGCTAATGCTCAGGCTGGTCTCAAACTTCTGACCTCAAGCAACCTTCCTCCCAGAGTGCTAGGATTAAAACAGGCTTGAGCCAACATGTCCTGCCAAGAAGATGAATTATTTGCTTGCAGAGACAGAAGGCAAGAATGCATCTGAGTTTCAGTCAGAGAACTTTTAGGGTACACAATTGATTACCAGAAGAAAGAATAGTCATTTTTGCCTGTGAACTGAACCTGTAGCATTGAAAGGAGTCTTGTATTCTTAAATTCATGCTTAGATTTTTAGGCAGCACAAAATGACAAGGAAAGCTGGAGTGAGTACAGGGAGTAAGATATTCAGGCTTGGCCGGGCATGGTAGCTCACGCCTGTAATCCTAACACTCTGGGAGGCTGAGGTGGGAGGATTGCTTGAGCTTAGGAGTTCTAGACCAGCCTGAGCAAGATTGAGATCTCGTCTGTGTTATAAATAGAAATAAATTAATTGGCCAACTAAAAATATATAGAAAAAATTAGCCAGGCATGGTGGCACATGCCTGTAGTCCCAGCTACTCGGGAGGTTCAGGCAGAAGGATCACTTGAGCCCAGGAGTTAGAGGTTGCTGTGAGACTAGGCTGATGCCAGGCCGCACTCTACCTGCCTGCGGCAAACAGGAGTAGAACTCTGCTCTCAAAAAAAAAAAAAAAATGATATCAGGCTTGCTATTTTTGTTTTGTTATGGTAGGGTCTACCTGCCTACCTTTCTAGCTTCAGATGGATAGACACATACATATACATACACATACTGTGCACATACATATATATACATATGCATACTATATGTGATTTCCTATTGGAAAAGCATCTGGGGACCCCACTGCTGTGCATGGCATGCCAAATGGTTCTTTCAATCATGCATTACCGTTTCTTAGGCTCTCAGCATGAGCAGAGAAAGAGCTGGTGTGGAAGCCCAGATTTGAGAAGTGAAAGTGGCTCAAGAGTTTGGTGTTCAGGTTGGCACAGCTCACACAGTAGGTTCTCAATCAGTATGCTGTGATGATAGTCTTGGTGATGATTCAGGTTTTTGCCACTGGTGTGAAAAGCTTTTAGCATGCAGAGTTGGGACATGTTAGCCATTGTGCTTTTAGTGTAAACAGGGCTTAGAGAACGGCCACTTAACCTAAGAACTTAGTAATTTTTTTTTTAATGTGTTCCCTGTGCCAGATATATTTTGTAAATAAGTGAAGACGCCAGGCCAGGAGGTCTCTAACTTGTGCAATTTATTAGACACTGGTTCTCAGAGCTGTATTTGTTGATGGTTTCTATTCACGAAGTCAGGCAGAAGACAGCTTGACGTCACCAGGAATAACCTTGTAGTGTGTGGGAGCTTTGTCCTCAGCAGTCATGTGGGTTGGGGAAGGAGGCCACTTTTCAGGGACTCATAGCTGGAAGCAGGAATTTTTCCTTTTGTCTACCTTCTCTGTCTGTAACTCTTGCCAGGCTTCATTTAGCTGCATTGTTTTTTATACAGCATTCCTCTCATATCTCACACAGTTGGACACCATCTGTGTGCTAGGCTCAGACACATGTAAATGGATATTTAGACTTCTAATAAAGCACTTGCCAGTTAATATCTTCTGTGGTCATCACTGAAGATGGAATTAAGAACTGATTCCCCGTAAAGCCTCTAGGAAATTTAATATGGTAATTTACCATATACAGAGTACTTTCATTTATCATCTTACTTGATCTCACCCATGTGAGGTGGGTAGGAAAGGTGATGCTATCCCAATTGACAAATTCAGAAAGATGACTTGACTCAAATTCCCACCAACTAATGTGTAGTTTTCCTGGGAATTACAGTTCTTAGTCTGGAGGTCAGCCATGGTGCTTGTTATTTCGGACTTCTTTAGCATTATAGGGCCCATTAATGTGTTACTAGGTACCTAAATGCTAGTAAATGGCCTTTGCTTGGAGCCACTGTTACTTATATCCCATGCAAGGAAGGATCTTTTTCTTCTAAGCGAGGAACTATAAAATAAGCAAAGCTGTAGAGAGACATGATTGTTTATATTTCAGGAGTTCTCCCTATTATTATTATTTTATTCATTTATTTTTTTAAGAAAGAGTCTCACTTTGTTGCCCAGGCTAGAGTGAGTGCTGTGGCGTCAGCCTAGCTCACAGCAACCTCAAACTCCTAGGCTCAAGCAATCCTCCTGCCTCAGCCTCCCAAGTAGCTGGGACTACAGGCATGCGCCACCATGCCCGGCTAATTTTTTCTATATATATTTGTTGGCCAATTAATTTCTTTCTTTTTATAGTAGAGACGGAGTCTCGCTCTTGCTCAGGCTGGTTTCAAACTCCTGACCTTGAGCTATCCTCCTGCCTCAGCCTCCTAGAGTGCTAGGATTACAGGCGTGAGCGCCGAGTTCTCCCTATTATTATGCAAACTTTTGTAAGTCACACCCAGTCTAGAGCTCTATATTCCACTGAGGATAGTACATATGTGGATATAGTTATGCACTTTCAACAGATGACCCAGAAAGAGCAGGGAGGCTCAGACTCTTGTGGAAGGCTTATGGGACAGAATTTCCTAGTGGTTGGGTTCTTGTCTGGCAGAATGGAAGTCCTGGGCTTGTGATCCAGGGCTGGTTTTCTGTGTGGAAGAAGGAAGATGAGCTGTGTGAGTGCTTGAGGTTGCTCCTAGTGATAGTCTCAGGCCACCCACCCATGTGCATTGTGTGTGCTTTGAAGCTCAAAGCCAAGGACAGGCAAGTCTCTGAGCCAAAGCCATCAGCCTGCTTCTAGAAATGTGTCAGCAGATTAACTTATTGGCTTTCCTCCTGAGTGGCATTAGCTCTCACCCTGTCTCATGTTCACCATCTGGCTTTTGAGTAAGAAGTCTTCAAGTGATCTCTCTTCAGCAGCCTGCTCAGTGCCAGGGCTTTCAGAGGGCTGTTCAGCTTTCTCCCTCATCAACCCTGGGGCACATTGCACTCCAAAAAGAGGTAGTCTCTGTGTTGTGTCCACACACAAGCATACCTGGGATCAGAATACTTTATACCTCAGCTCAAAGGTGAATGAGTCTGGGTGGTTAGTAGCCTAAAGTCTTTTTGTTGTCAAAACTAACAAATGGATCTGTCCTTAGGTTACTTGTAGGGCTAGAATCACAAGGAACTTAGGTTAGTTTTTGAAATGGTATTGCTTATACCACAGAGAAACTGCTTGTGATAGTTTGTCCAGATTTTATTAGAGGGAGGGATTCAAAAGAGCTGGGATTTTTTTTCCCTCCTTGGAAAGTAAAGCCTAGGGGTGGAGGTGTTTATATGAACCACCTCCCCTCCTCCTAGGGAGCTAGCTGCTTTCTCCTCCTAGGTTAATGTACATTGAATGGGGCTAAATGCCTGATGCTTCTGGACAGAGTCCAGCCCCTCAGCAGAGCAGCCGCACTGTGGAGATACAGCTGCTGGCATTAAAGGGCTAAGCCCTTTCCAGCTGCTTTGCTGTAAAGGGAACTGCCTGCAGTCGGCAGCTTAACGGAGCTGTCTTAGCCAGATTAGGAGGAAATGACTAATCTCTGCATCTTCTCATGACACTGCTCTGGAGGCTCTAGGGAAAATAACCCAGTGGGGTGGAAAGTAGTTGGATAATGGTGTTGGAGTGCTAGCCTTTTATCTCATCAAAATTGTGGTCCCAGCTTGGTGTGGTCTGTGTTTTCTCTTTCCTCCATGAAAAAAGTAGGCTTCTCTCCCCTGGCACTGAGGAAGAGGAGAGATTCACTCTGTGGGGTGGCCTAAGTAGTTAAAATCTGGCGTAGCAATAGATGTGTGGAGTTGACAGCATATGAGAGCAATGGTATACATCCCCCTAAGAGGAAGGAGAGAAGACTTCAGACCCTCTAATATGGATCCTACTTTGGTCTTCCATTCCTCTTTTCATTAAAACTCAAAGGCCAGCCTGTAATCCTAGCACTCTGGGAGGCCGAGGTGGGAGGATCACTCCAGGTCAGGTCTTCGAGACTAGCCTGAGCAAGAGCAGGACTCCGTCTCTACTAAAAATAGAAAATTAATTGGCCAACTAAAAATATATAGAAAAAATTAGCTAGGCATGGTGGCGCATGCCTGTAGTCCCAGCTACTCTGGAGGCTGAGGCAGGAGGATCACCTGAGCCCAGGAGTTTGAGGTTGCTGTGAGCTAGGCTGACACCACAGCACTCTAGCCCGGGCAACAGAGTGAAACCCTGTCTCAAAAAAAAAACCCAAAAAAACCCTCAAAGGCTGGACAGAGTGGCTCATGCCTATAAACCTAGCACTTTGGGAGGCCAAGGCAGGAGGATCACTTGAGCTCAGGAGTTCGAGACTGTCCGGAGCAGGAGTGAGGCCCTGTCTCTACAAAAAATAGAAAAATTAGCTGGGCATGGTGGCAACCACCTGTAGTCTCACCTATTTGGGAGGCTGTAGCAGGAGGATTGCTTGAGCCCTGGAGTTTGAGGTTGCAGTGAGCTATGATGATGCCACTGCACTCTAGCCCAGGCAACAGAGTGAGACCCTGTCTCAGAAAACACAAAAAAATTTTAAAAACTCAATTTAAAGAGCCAATATTTAAAGGAGAAATGACTATTTCATTGATTATAACATGTGCTTTAAAAATATATTATTAATATCTCTGAGAATCGGGACATCTTATAATCAATGGCAACTTACAAATACAACGTAGTGTTTTTTCTTTCTTAGTGGCTCATAAAGTAGTGGTGCATCTCACAAGCTATGTCTGGGTTGGAAGTGTTAACTATTCACATGAGAGGCTCCTGCTTGGACTATATGTGCAGGCCAGGGAGCGTGCTACTTTGCTGTGGTCAAAGAGGTATTAAAACAGGGAGTTCCCTCAGGTCTGGAGGGAAGCTACAGTATGGGAAAAGCAGAGAAAACAAGGCTCAGCCCAAGATACCTGGCATGAAGAAGCAGACAAGCAATGTGTAGAATATGATCAAAATCTGTCCCAGTCATGACCCCCAGGAGCTATTACATGTAGCTCCTGAATCAGGGGAGGAGGAAAAAGCCATTGTAAATCAATGATGATATGACCAAAATAACAGTACATCCTGATGAAGGTCAGAGTACTTTAACACTGCAGTCCCCAACCCCTGGGCCATGGCCCATTACCAGTCCGTGACCTGTAAGGAAACAGGCTGCGTATCACGGCCTGAGCTCTGAACCACACCCACCCACCCACAACAAACATCCTACTCCCCATCCCCAGTCTGTGGAAAAATTATCTTCAATGAAATGGGCCCCTGGTGCCAAAAAGGAAGCCTATCTCATAGGACAGAGAATAAAGATAAGGAACCTACTGCCCTGACATGAAAAGTAAACTAAAAAAATATAGTTTTAAGATGGTCTTCCTGCTCACGCCTGTAATCCTAGCACTCTGGAAGGCCAAGGTGGGCAGATTGGTCGAGGTCAGGAGTTCGAAACCAGCCTGAGCAAGAGCGAGACCCCGTCTCTACTATAAAATAGAAAAAAATTAATTGGCCAACTAATAGATATAGAAAAAAATTAGCCGGGCATGGTGGCGCATCCCTGTAGTCCCAGCTACTCGGGAGGCTGAGGCAGGAGGATTGCTTGAGCCCAGGATTGTGAGGTTGCTGTGAGCTAGGCTGATGCCACGGCACTCACTCTAGCCTGGGCAACAAAGTGAGACTCTGTCTCAAAAAAAAAAAAAGAAGGTCTTCAGGTTCAGACAGGTGTTCAAATAACTGTGAAATAATGTGTTCAGTGTAAGGATAGAGGTGGGCCCAGTGCAGTGAGAGGAACTCAGGAGAGAGGGAGCTGAAGGCTTAGTGAGCCTCAGAGGTCATGACAAAGCTGGAACTCAGGATGAGTAAGGCAGCTGGTGGGGGACCAGAGGTATATTCCTAGGCAGAGGAAGCACCTCCAGCCTGTTGCTCCAGAACTGGACACCCCAACTGCTGGCCTGTCCTCCTCTCTGACCATGGGCTGGTCCTTGTTCCATCTGTCCATTGGGGGGAGAGTGCTAGTTATTGATCCCTGCCTCTGTCTTTGGCCTCCTCTACCTCAAGCTAGAGCTATAGCTATTCCTTTATCTGCCTTAATCAGATCTCTGAAACATTGTTTCAGTCCCCTCTTTTCTGCTAATTAACCACGGCCTATTAATTAGTGCTATTGGACTCCCCACTCTCAGAAACCCCATTCTCTAACCATGCCTCACCTCCCCAGCTTTTGCTAAATATGTGACTGTGCCTCTCCCTGAGAAGTGATTACAGATCTTGGCTGTACTGACCCCCTGCCACAGCTGCCCAGAGTGGCCACAGCTTGGCCGGATGCTTCATCTTGATTAGCCCTTAACTTCTTCCTTCCCTCCCTCCCTCCCCATCTTCCTCTTTGACATTGCCGGGGCCTGACACAAAGCTGTATGCTAAAATCCCTCTTAATATCAGGCATCAGGCTCTTTTTTCCTCAGGCCTGTTTCCTGCATTCCCTAGTGCTGCTTGGGTCATGGAGACAGTGCTGTGGGGCCAGAGGGACTGAGGCAATCTCCTCCCATGATCTAGGCCAAAACCCAGATCAACTCGTTCCTGATCACTTGACCTCATTAAAGATCACAGTGATTTTGGTCTATGCTACCTCTTTAACCCTCAGCTCTAATGTTAGCTCCCTTTTTGTTTACTTAGTTTTCATGTGAGATTCTAAGTCCTCAAAGCCCTGCTTCTTTTCACCCCTTTCCCATCCCACCCAGTATTCTCACCCTCATTCCCTGAATCTCCCCAAACCAACTCTCCAGCTGTGATCACTTCAGTGTTCCATTTCTCTGTTCTGAGGAGGCACTTATTTCTGTTCGTTGTGTTTTAATTCTTGACGACTCTTTCCTCTGGGATTCTCCTCTTTCTCCAAACACACACACTCTCCCTTTAGCTCAAGCTAAACCTGGGGTATGTGAAAGAAGTGATCCCTTCTTTAGTAATAGCCCAGGCCTCTCTTTAGAAACTGCAGGGGAAGCAGCTGAGCTCGTGATAGACATAATACATTCCACCTTGATGATGGTGGTGGTAAAATTAGCTACTAATGATTGAGATCTGACTATATGTTGGGCGTGGTGCTAAACACATCTCATGTAGCTCTTCCAGCATCCTTTTGACTATGTTCCATTTTCCAGATGAGGAAGGTGAGGCTCAGGATCCCTAAATAACTTGCTCAAGTTCACACAGGTAGTAAGTGCCTGACCTGTATTTAAGCCTCTATTATACGTTTATGTAAGTTTTTTCTTTCTCTTTTTTAAACTAAGGTCCACAGAATCCTTTGGGTGAAAGTGATTTCCTTTGGAAAGTAAAAGTCTCTGGATCACTGTGTTGTTCCTCCTCCTCCCACAGTCCCAGCAGGCCAAATGTGTCTCAGAGCCTGGCCCGTTCCTGGGCTTTTCTCCCTTGCACAGTATGGTCCTGTATCAGGGCTGTCCTCTTTATACCTGGAGGTAGCAGGTTAAAGATGAGCAGTGGGGGTGGGAAGCAGGGGAAGCGATCGCCTAGGCTCTGAGTGCAGCATCATCTGCTCCTGCTAAGACAATCATCAACATAAAAGGCTAATTGTATTAATCACCAAGGCACCAGTCCTGAGTCCCCCTCCCTTTCGGGAGAATTATGAATTGCAATTGCAGATGGCTCCACTGATTGAAGGCAGTGCTCAGCAGGGAGAAGGGTCAGATCAGATTACACACCATTAATTAAAAACTTCCCCTGACAAATGGGAGGAAGGGAATACACACCAAGAGCTGGCCTGGTTGGGTCTCTGTCCTCCCCATGCCCCCTACCCTGCCACAAACTCAGAGGCTGTGACGATGAAGCCTGCTTCCCCCAGCTGGAACCACTGAGATTCAGCTCCCCAGAGGCCAGCCCTTCCTCATCCAAACAGATGGCCTGCTGTCCTATTAAAGGGCTCCAGAGGAGGAAAAGCTAACCTTTGGTTACTTATTTCCATGTCTAACCTTCGATGCTCTGCAGGTTCTAACCTAATTCCTCACTTCTCAAGCTTATTTCCTCTTGCTGTATCCTGACAGAGAACAGCTTTAAAGAACTATTCATAAAAGGGCCCCCCAGCTTTCTCTTCAGGCAACTACCCTTACTTACCCTTTTGGCCCATAAGTTCCTGGGACAGACGTCATGGAGCCTGCTTTGGGATAGTGGATGGAGACTCAAGTGTCTGGCTGTGCGCCCTCTTCCTGGCCCCTGCTTGGAAGCATAGGCTTCTCAGCTGCTGTCATTTTGGCGTATTTGGAGTTGTAACTCCTGAATGTTCATCCTTGATCTATTGCTGCCTCATCTCCCTCCCCAGCTGCATAGCGTCAGTCATTCATTCATCAAACTTTTATTGAGCACCCAGTGTGTGCTTGGCTCTGGGGACGCAGAGATAATTTGTTAAGGAGCTTAAGAGCCTACTGTATTAGTTCCACCAGCACCCCCTTCAGCCTTCTAGTTTCTGCTTCCTTCCTTCCTGTGACTGCAGCTTGTATAAGCCCCCCTGGAGCTCTATTTTGGAAAATTCTAAGCTGGGAGCTGGGGAAACCTTAAGGGTCCATGATGCTGAGCTGGGTGACCTTTACCAAGTCAGCCATATCCTCTACACACACACACACACACACACACTCAGCTGTCCCTGCTTATAAAGGGCACAGGCAGCCCTGGGCTCTGAGAGATTGTGAAGATGGATGAGTGGGACCCATCTTGGAGAGATGTGAGTAGTAGCTGCACTGATGATATTACAGAACACTGAACACAGCTGCTGGGGCCACAAGCACCAGGGACTCAGCTACTGCACAGGCTAGGCCCGTTACTCTCCCTTTGGAAGACTTTGGCAGCCTTTCCCCCAGCCCCAGTCCCTTGGGAGACATCATGGAAAAAGGACCTATCCTTTGTATGGATTTGGTTGCTGCATCTCAGGGTACCATGGTGATGAGCGCCATAGAAATGAGAACTGACTTCTATTGGCCTGTCTCTTCATTCCAGGGTCCCTCCCCCAAGCCCCCATACCCACAAAGCTCCCAGGTCAGCAGACCCAAGAGAGGAGGAGGCAGGGTTGTGGGTAAGTAGATCCAATTAAATGAAAGAAAAGCCTACTCTCTCTTCCCTCCTTCAATCGTCTTACTCTCTGCCTTCTTCCCTCCCATTACCAACAGCAATTGTATTCAAACCCAATAATTACAGTAACAGCAACAATAATCATCCTTTATTGGGGTTGTTTTTCCAGCATTTTCACTTCCAAAAGCGGTTTGCAATTTCTTGTTTTCACAGCAGTCGCTGGGGGAGGATTGTGTCCATTTTGTAGCTGGGGAAGCTGAGATCCAGACAGGACCCCAAGTCATGGGCAGAGTAGATATAGAACAGCCTTTAAATCTTAACAAACCAATTTGTACTAAAGAAGACCTTCAGAGGCACTGAACCACAAATCTTGGTTTTCTGGGTCATTCTTGGGTTCCCACCATCCTTGGGGCTTATTTGACTACATTTTTGGGGATCCTGGTAATGCTGAAAAGGAAGCAGGAGATGGATTCTTTGGCCCAGGTTAAGAACTGAGGGCTGGGGTAGGGGTTTCCCCTCTCAGTGTTGTTCTTGTGAATGGCTGTGGGGTGGAAGTCAGGGCAGGCAACTGGGGAGAGCTTACCCTGGGAAAAGCCTTTCTGGCTCAAAGCTCCCTTCCTATATTCTGCCCCTCTGCCAGCCTGAAGAAAGGGTCCTCTCTGTGTCAGCTCTTCCTAAGGGTGGGGTCTTCTCCTGAGCATTTGGAGAAGTGAGAAATAAAGATCTTTTGGGAGGTCGGTCTCTGTCCTCTGTCCTGAGAGGGGAGCCATAGCTCCCCAACTATACCCAAGGGTGGGGAAATCCTGCTCAGGAGCTCAGAGGCTGTTCTAGGACATGAGTCTTCAATGAAGCCTGTCCTCTCCTCCCCAAGGGTTTCCCAAGGTCCCTGTAGCCCTCAGTGTCTAAGCAGAGTGGATGTCTGGTCTCCAGTTTCCTTTTTCCCAAAGACACAAGGATATGGAGGCTCAGGATTCCCACTGGGGTCTAGTTGGGTGAGGGAAGGGAGAGAAGAGTGATCATGAAGTCCCCTGGCCCCCTCTGCTCTGTCTCATTAAGAGATGGGGAAGGCTTAGGGGAAGGGGACTAGACAGATTTACTTCCAGATTCTTTTTATCTAGAAATATAATGCCAGGGAGAAGGGCTGGCACCCCCTGGCCCACCCTGTTAGGACAAGGTGTCAAGCCTCCCCATTTCCCTCCCAGGAAAACCTCCAGTTAGGTGATACAAGGCACGTTGCCCACCTACAGGGCTCCTCTCTGAAGCCTGAGGCCAGGGCAAAGTCTATGCCGTCTCACACACTCTCCATTTCTGTGTCCCCTGAACTGGATTGGGGTTCTTTCTTCTGGGGCTCCACCCCTACCACTCTCTCCCCCTCTGCAGTGCCTGTGAGGATGGCCAGTCGCTGGGCCAGGGTCTTGGTGTCAGGGAACAGGATAAAGTTGTAGATCAGTGAAGCCAGGACAGCTCCTGTCAGGGGTCCCACCCAGAAGACCTGAGGAGAAGAAAGTAGACACGCACTCATGAGCTGTCAGGGTGGCTTTGTGGCCTCTGCCTGCTTCCCTAGAGCTGACATGGTCTCCCAAGTCTTCCTCAACTGTCTACAAGGTGGTAAATTTGAGAACCACGAGTCCTGCCTCCAGAGCACACAAGGTGAGGGGAGCTTGCCTTCCATGGAGCTGGGGCCAAGGGCCAGTCTCCTCACCCCTCATGCCTCTTTCCTCCTGCCTCCCCCATTTTGGCCATGAGTCCTGGCTGTTGCCATTTTTGTCTCTGCTGGTGTGTCTGTTTCTGGTTGTCTTTTTCTTTATCCAAGTTTGAGAATTGATCCAGCTGGACAAAACGAATAAGGAAACAGCCAGGACTTAAAGTTTGGGTCAAAGCCGTAGCTTCTGTCCATGGCATTGAAGCTGGAAAGGAAGGAAGTACAAGCCGAGATACTCACTCTAGCCTTCTTAGCTTAGGGGACCTCCACTCTGGGGTCAAAATGGTCGGGGGTGGGTGTGGGGGTTGTCTCCCCAAGTCGCTGTGGAGCCATTGCTGGTAAAACCTAATGTCTACTGTCCCTGCTCAAGCCTTCTCTCTTCCCCATGGCTTCCAGTGGAGGGTCTCACCCAGTGGACTGAGAACTTCCCAATGATGACAGCAGGACCGAAGGAGCGGGCTGGGTTCATGGAGCAGCCGGTGAAGTAGATCTGGGAAGCAAGTGCAGGGTCAGGGTGTAAGGAGGCTTATGGCAGGCCTAGAAGGGGACAGTCTCCTTGGCCCTGGCCCCAGCCCCAGGCAGCACCATATCCTGGCCTTGGCACCACCTTGGCCCCAAGGCATGAGGGGCTCAGGGAGGGATACTTCCTGGCCTTCAGGGCCCTGCAGCTTCCCCAGGGAGAGACCCAATGTATCCGTGTGCACAATATCCCCTTTGCCTCTTACCCCAATGAGGTGGCCCAATGCCACAGAAATCCCAATCATGGTGGCTGGGGAGCCCGATGTCTGACGGCTGTCAGTGGAAGCAAAGACACAGAGTACCAGCTGCAGGGTCAAAACCAGCTCCACTGCCACTGCCTGGCCAATCGAGACGCTGTTCTGAACCTGGGCAGAGGGGGTTATGCTGGAGCAGACGCATGCTCTGCCCATAGCATGGTTAACCCCCAGGCTTGGTCTCCTCAGCTGTAAGGTGGGTGACACCTCACCACTGCTCAGCTCCAGGACTTGAGGAGATCTGTTCAGTGGAGCTCACATCAGCCTTGGATACTTGCTCCCTGCAGAAGTGAGTAGCTCCCCTCACACCCCACCAATTGGTTGGTTAGGACCAGTGGTTCAGGATGTGGAGGCAGGAGCCCAGGACTGATGGGGAAGGCTTGAGAAGCTGGAGATGCTTGTTTGAGAGGAGACTGATGGTAGGAGTAGAAAGAGATTTGGGGAAGTAGGTGGAATGTAGATGGTTAGTAGAATGGGGTGGGGGAGTAGGCAGACCTCGAGGTGCTGGGGAGGGAGGAACTTGGGGAAAACGGAGGAGCAGAGGACAGGGGGTAGAGCTTGGAGAGGAAAATGAAGTGCTTGCAGGATCCCCTTCCTCTACCTACAGCCCCAGCCCTCCCTTCACTACATCTGCCCTTTAAATACCTGGTCCTTCTCTGACTCCTTCTCCTTTTTCCTTCAACATCTGTTCCTCACGCCACAATCCCATTCTATTCTTCCTAGACTAAGGCCAAAGTCTGATTCCTCTGGGACCCAGTACCCAGCCCAGAGTAGATGCAGAGCATGTGGCTGAACTGTTTCTTCCTCTGTTCTGTCTCCTCAGGTCTAGCCCTCCACCCCTCCCATCTATGTGGACTCCCTCCTCCTCTCCCTGCTTTGTACCCCTCCCTGCACCTACCACATTAATCCCAATGGTCTCTCGGATGTCTCCTGGTGTGACCCCGTAAAGCAGAGCAGCCCCTACGGTGGCCCCAGCCAGCTGGGCAACCACATAGGCCACAGCTCGGGGCAGAGAGATGTGAGAGCCCACAAGGAAAGCCAGTGTGACAGCAGGGTTGACGTGGGCCCCACTGGCCTTCCAGGTAACCTGCACAACCATAGCCGTGACCAGGTTGAAGGTGATGGCAATCTGCAGCACAGAGGGAAGTGCCGAGGGCCAGTGCAGAGCCGAGCCCACGCCAAAGAACACGTACAGCCCCGTGGCCAGGAACTCTGCAAATAGCGCCCTGATGATGGCTGTCCAAAGCTCACATGACAATATCCTAGCCCAGCTGTGCCCCCCTGGCTCCACAGCATCCATGTCCTGGTGCCTTGGCTGTAACCTCCTTTGCTCCAAGGGCCTCTCCTCTGTCCTCTTGTCCCTTGTCTCTGGCTGACTCTGGCTTCACTCTCCGTGGAGCCTCTCTGGCCCCCACCTGCAGTGTCCCAAGGAATGTACTGGTCAGACTGGCAGGGGGCAGGCAGATGGGGGTTATGCACATACCTGAGCTCACCTGACGGGGGCAGGGGAGGCGGTGGGGAGGGCTGTCTCTGGGGCGCTGAGCTGGAACCTCCCAGGAGGTTTCCAGGGCTGGAAAGGTCTAACTTGTGCTGCAGGCAGAGGTCTAGGCTGAGGGTCGCAGGTGCAGGGCAGAGTGGTCATGGGATACATGTCCTGATGTCAGCTTCAACAGAGCAAGATAACTCAGATCCCCAAGTCCAAGGCCAGTTTCAGAGGGTCCTATTCTGTCCCCTCTGTTTCTAAGCTTTGCTTCCAGATGGGCTAAAACTATGCTGTGCCCTTTAAACCCAGATATGATATCAAGTGCTCTCCTCTAGTTCCACTTAAAACCCCTCTCACAGAATGCAGATGTGAATAGAGTTGATTTTGCTAAGGACTTGGGCCTGTGGGGTAGGGAGGGGCAGATGGAGAAGGGGTTTATTCCACAAATAATCAAACAGTATCAGGTCACACATGCTGTCCACCAGTGGGAATTTCCACTGGCCCTTCACTCATTCCTTCCTGCATCTCTGCCCTCCCTTCTCAGCCCATCCCTCTTGGGGACCAAGCAGATTCCTCTCTTTCTCATCCAGGGCAGCTTAACCATTTTTGTGACTATGTTGGCCCTAAAGTCACCCATGCCCTAGGCTCTCCCCTGGTTCCCCAGCAGCATATCAAGGTATTTTCTCAAAAGTGTTCCCTCTCTAAGAAGAATTTGCCAAGCTGTTGAAATAATAATCTTCACCTCTTAACCACATCCGGGTGTCCTGACCTCACCCCTGGCCAAGCTACCAGCCCATAGTTGTCCCCTGGTTGTTCTCAGGTTCCTCCAATGCAGTCTTTCTCAAAACGAGATCCTCATCTCTACCCACAATGCACTCCTCTTGTTTCTTCCAGCTCAGGTGGTGGCACCTGGGAAGCATCCTTGACCCTTCTCTCCCTCCTTCCCCCATAATAAAATAAAAATAAAACCATTAAGTCCTGCTGATTTTGAATCCTAAATATCTCCTGACTGTGCCCTCTTTTGCCAACTGCCTGCAGCCTTTAACCAGTCTCTCTGTCTGCGCCCTTGCTCTGCTCCAATCAATTCTCCACACTGCAGCCCAAGAGTGCTAAAATGCAAATCTGATCATGCTGCTCCCCTGCCAAAATCCCTTCAAAGCCTCCCCTCCTCTGGAAGCTCTGTGCCTGCCTTCAGGGACTGCTCCTCCTACCTCTCTCTCTTTCCACTGCTTACCTCGTCATTTACCCTCTGGCCCCACCAGATGAACACCCCTGCTGGTCCCTCTGGAGGATGCTGTCTCTTCTGAGAGCCCTTGCCACTCCCTTTGCTGGGTCATTCCTGGGTGAGGGCCCCTCCCACAACACCTAGGCATTTTTGTATACTACAGTCACCACCGAATGTTGTCATGGTGTTAATGTGTTTCCCCAATGAGGCAAGGCGGTGAACCCTAGGGGATGGGAACCAAGTTTTGCTCATCCCTATGTAGTGTCTTGCACAGAGATTTCTGTAGTAAGTGCTCAATAAATATTTGTCGAATGAATAAATGAATAAAAACTTCTTGACCTGAGACACATGACCTTCGTGTCTGCTTCATTTCAGCCTTATACCTGTCCCCACCTGGGACTGAGCCCTCTGATATCTTCAAGTGAAACAGCCCAACTCTGGACCACAGGCTCTGTCCATCCTCTCTCCCCTGTCTGAGTCACCCTAGCCCATCCCCATCTGTTCTTCCTGCTGTCTTGGCTTCACCTGACCCTCTCCAGGGGACTCCTGGGCATCTCACCTCTAGCACACTCTTGCCAGTGCCCCCACTGTCCTGGCTCCCTGTCCTCTCCATCCCACCCCCGCTGCATGTCTCCATGCTCATTCTCCTCCATGCCTCACCATCCCCCATCTGCGCTGCTGAGCACTGCTGGAGAAACTCGCCCAGCCGTGCAGACTGCTGCCGTGACAAGTCCACGGTCTGGCCTCAGCAGGGGCAGCAGCTCTGCTCAGCAGTCCTTCCATGGCTCTCCCCCCATTCTTGAAATCTCCTCCACCCTTCAAGTACCCTACTCACTCTGGCTTTCGCTCAGCAGAGGACCGCCCCATGCCTCCCAAAGCCCTGCTACCTACCCGGCAACACTTCTTCCCACCCTTCCTCCCCAGCCACAGCCTCACCTGCAGCTGCCCCAAGCCCCTGCCAGTGCCCCATGGCCTTGAAGAAGAGGCAGCCTTCTCTGTGTGCGGGTTGTGAGGGGGCCGGAGGGAGATCCTTTGTGCTTTTGGCTCCCTTTGAGCAACTGGGGCCCTCTCTTGGCAATTCCTAGTCTCATCTGTGGCTCTCACTCCTCCCTCTCTTCTAGCTTCTTCCCTTTAAATGTGCCTGGGTAATCTCAGAGCAGTGAAAAATCATGGTTTGGAGCCAAAGTTCCAGTCACCTGCTCACTGCACTAGAGCCCCTAGTCCCCCCTGCTCTGGCAAAGGCCACCATGACCTCTCCAGGCCTCTTCTTCCTTGGCCTGCTGTAGCACATGCACTGCTGGCCGTCTCCCTCCTGAAGCCGCTTTCGTCCTGGCCTATGTGGCACAGTCATCTCCTGGCTCTCCTCCCACCTCTCTGAGAGTGTCTCTCTGGCCTCCATTGCTGGCTCCTCTTCTGCTGACCTTTAGACCCAGGCTCTGTCTGCTCCTGACCCACTGCTCTTCTCACTCCTGGCGAGACTGTGCCTGGGTAGCCCTGTTGACGTCTGTGGCCTCCATCTCCCCACAGGCTGTCGACTCACAACACTGCCTCCAGACCTCTGCTGAACTCCAGACCCACACGGCCTCCCCACTGGACCCTCCAGCCTGTGCCTTCTTGTCCCTCCCCCTCTGGGTGGCTCCAGGTCAGAGTCCCGGAAATATGCAGATACCTCCCCTTCCTGCAGCCCACACTAACAGGTGATCAGGCTCCTGGTAGTTCTTTCTCACCTCTGACACTTCTTCCCATTCTCATTTGCCACTGGCCCAGTTCAGCCCTTATTGTCTCTCCGTGGATTACTGCATTCATCTCCTTACTGGACTCTCTGACTCCACTACATCCATGCCCTCCCTCACCACTCTCCTCTCCTCTGCCAGAGAGATCCTTCCAAAATGCAAAGCTTATCACATTACTCCTCTGCTCAAAAACCTTCAATGGTTCCCCGTTGCCTCAGGATCAAGTCTGAATATCCATGATTACATAGATATTCAGACTTCTTCCCACTGTCCACGCTACTCCCTATACCCCAGGCAGGCTAAACATTTATACTTCCCCAAAATGAGCTTTGGAGCCCTCTGTATGCTGATTTTTTTTTTTTTTTTTTTTTTTTTGAGACAGAGTCTTGCTCTGTTGGCCGGCCTAGAGTGCCATAGTATCAGCCTAGCTCACAGCAACCTCAAACTCCTGGGCTCAAGCAACCCTTTTGCTTCAGCCTCCTGAGTAGCTGGGAGTACAGGCATGCGCCACATGCCCGGCTAATTTTTTCTATATATTTTTAGTTGTCCGGCTAATTTCTATCTTTAGTAGAGATGGGTCTCGCTTTTGCTCAGGCTGGTCTCGAACTCCTGAGCTCAAGCAATCCTCACGCCTGTGCCTCCCAGAGTGCTAGGTTTATAGGCATAAGCCACTGTGCCCGGCCTATATGCTGATTTTGAAATGCCTTTCCTCCTTGTTCCTCTTTCAAGACTTTGCCCAAGTGCAGTTCCTCTAGGAAGCCTGCCCTGACTTCCCTCCCCAGCAGAGTCAGGCCAAGCAAGCTTCATAGAGAAGTAGGGCATGAGCAATGCCAGGGGCTAGTTGTGGCCTCTGCCTTGTCAATGCCTCCACTGTTCCAGTGCAGACTGCCATCCCTGCCTGGCATAGAGGACTCCATTCAATAAATGCTCAAGGGAGGATGGATTGTGGCTGTGGGGGGAGTATGGGGACCGTTCCTCCCTGGCACGGTGGGTTCCCTGCCTGGGGGCTTCCCAGAGTACCTCAAGGGCACCTCTCTCCTTCCCTCCCTCAGAAAGGGCCAGTAGAGGGCTTGGTGGACAAATGCTTCCCAGTCCCTGCATCTGACCTTGCTCCTGTTTCTGCACTTATAAAACTGGCACCAAATGGCAGCAGTATTTATCTGTTGAGAGCTTTTGAAAAGACAAGTGAGAGCATTTTGAATGTAGCCATGTATATGGGACCTCTAACCAGTTGCTTAACTTCTGTGACCTCAGTATCCCCATTTATAAAATGGGGGATAATCCCCACCTCCCTGTGTGTTGTTAGGAGCAAATGTGCTGACACCCAGCAGAGTGCCTCCGCGTCAGAAAATGTGGGTTGTTTGGATTGGAACTCCCTCCCCTCTCCAGACAGACAGCTGTGGGGACTGGGCAGGGGTGGCAGCCCCTGCTCTTGGCCCTGGAGCCTGAGAGAAGCTTTGTCCCCAGCTAGCCTAAAGCAGAGCCTCCTCAAGTCCTGCCTGGTGCAGGACAAAGTGCTTCACCCACTGGACCCAGGTGGGTATTGTGCAGGGCCTGCCCCAGCCAGTCTTTCCCAGCCCCAGCCAGTTCTGGGCTCTAAGGCCTAGCTTTGAGCTCACTCATGCTCAGAGACCTTTGCCAAGCCCCACACCTGGCTGCCTAGGCTGCGCTCTGACCGAGGTCCTCTCAGGACTTGGGGAAGATAAGGGGAGCCAGAGGGAGGGGGAGGAGGGAGGTGCTGGGAAAGAAGAGAAGGGAGAATGAAAACCTGACAAAGGGAAGGGTTTCGAAGTGGCTTCCGGTGCCTCATCTCACTAATCCCCACAAAACGTGGAAAGGTCAGGAGGTCTGATATCCTTATCTATTGGTGAAGGCGGAGGAAGCTGAGCCTGAGAGGAGCCCAGAGATCTGATTCCTTCAGCAATGTCTCCTCCTGTCCACCCATCTAAACAGACAGCCCTCTGTGCATTCTTCACCTCCACCCCAGTCCTCCTCCATCTCTTGGTCGCAGCACCATGTCCACCATCCACCTGGGGAAAACTGGCAGCCCCTGGGGAGGTGAAGGGGAGAGGAGCCTCCTACTGGAGAACCAAGGCTCTTCCGACTTCAGGTAGGGCAGAGGGTCGGAGAGGTGACTTTGAACGCATGTGCCTCTCTGAGAGCAAGTGGGGCCAGCCTCCAGGTCCAGCTGAGCCGCCCTGTGACAGTGAACCGGGCAGGGGGGAGGGTAGATGCGGTTCTTTGTGCAGACACAGCCCCTTGGGTACAACTGAAGGTCTGTGTGACTCCGAGCCTGAGACGTGCGGAGTTTGTGTGTGCGTGCTCGCGGGGCACGGGTCTATGTGAGCCCGCAGACCTGGCGGCTCCGCGGAGATCCGGCGCAAGGGCGCAGCGCCCCCTGCTGGTCAGACAGGCCCAACCTCTGCAACTCGTCCTCCCAAAGCCCCGGGGCGGGCCGGACGCCACCTGCAGGAAGCGCAAGGCCTGCAACTCGCTCTGACTGGGTGCCCCCCCACCCCGACGGACTGTCTCCCAAGGGTCCATCGTTCACACTCCTTCTTGGGGCCCGTCAGAGAAGGGAATGAAAATCGCTGGGCTGGAGGGAGAGGCCAGCCTCCCATTCACAGGCTATACCTGAGTCTTCTAGAGACCGGCGGGGGGGGTGGGGTCGGGGGGAAGGGCGCCCCTCTCTTCTGCACCCCCTGCCGGATAGTTGGGTGGGGGTGGGCTTGGGGTAGGCTGCTTCCTCGTGGCCTCAGGAGACCCAAGCCTGAGAGACTCCCTGTGTCCTCCGTCCCCACCCCCCGTGTGGCTAGAGCCCAGACCCGGGGCTGGTGGACGAGGAGGCCGAGCGGCTGCGGATTCGGTGGACGAGGTCGCCCCCTGCTGGCCGGAGCTGCCACGTGCAGCCCTGCCGGCCCTGGCCTGGGCGGGTTGGAGGAGGTGGGAAGGTGAGCGTGGTGGGGACGACGGCGAAGGCTGCTCCTCGGCTGGGGCCGAGGTTCGCACACACACTCTGCCACGCTGAGTTCTCTGCGAACCCACGAGGCGGGCGGGAGCGGCTGCAGCCCCTGGGACTGACCCTCGCCAGCCAGGGTATACAGCTTGTCCCGCTCCTTCGCAGCGCAAGTCTCCTGGCCTGCTGCCCACCCCACCCCAACCCACCCCACCCCGCAGCCCTTTCAGAGGCAAAATGAAGAGCAAGGGCAGAGGATGCGATGCCAGGGGAGCAGGCGCTCTGGTCAGTCACTCCGGCGGGCAGAGGCGGTGGCTGCGGTTCCAGGCAGGCGCACGTGTGCACGTGTGCGCTGGTTTCCTTTCGCGCCACCTTACCCGGTGCGAGTGCGCGGGCAGCTTCCCTCCGCCCATTGTCTCATCTTCTCCTCACAACAACCCATGAGGTAGGTAAAAGTATCCCTATTTTAGATGAGGTAATTAAAGCCCAGAGAGCTTATGTTGCCTAAAGTTGCGCAGCAAGATCTGACCGTGGCTTCCCGGCTCCCTGCTGGCCTGCTCAGCTGTCGCCTAGCTGCTCAAAGCCCCCCGCCCAGGCCTCTCCGCCCTCTCGCACGCAGTCCCAGCTGCCCTGTGAGGAAAGCAATCTTTATCCTCATTTTACAGATTAAGAGATGGAGGCCCAGACAGTTTATGGAGGTTTCCTAAGGAGTGTCAGTGGGGACACATGGGCAGAGACCAGGGAGGAGACCCGGGCAAGGGCTGGGCCGCATGTGGCTTCTGTGAGGGGAATGGGGGGAGCTGCTCTGGCCAAGCACAGGCTCCCAACGTGGCACCTTCTTGAAAGATCAAGCTTCAGAGAAAGGAGCTGAGGGCTGTTCCTCTTCCTGGTGACAGAGCCTGGCTGGTCACCCCTCGGCATCTCAAGGGGCTGCTGTTGGTTCACTCCTGCTCTGCCCTGCCTGGCACACCCTGGCACTGCCCTCCTCAAGTGCCAGCCAGGCCTCGTCAAGTGGCAGGGACTTGACATAGCTGAGAACCCTCCTTCCTGGCCTCCAGGTCCATTTCCATATTTGGTCCTCTCTCTCTGTCTCTCCCTGCCCCCTCCCCCAGCTCTGATTCTCTAGGTCTTCCTTGGCCTCAGCTGCCCTTTCTTTCCACAGAGGACTTGTCCCAAGTCCCCTCGTACCCTCTGTGGAGATTGCTGTGGAAGATGTGGGAAGACAAGGGTAGAAGTGATGGGCCAGACTGTCCCAAAGAGAGACTTGTGGGTAGAGGCAGAGGTGGAACCTGAATATCAGTGGTTTATTGGGAAGCCCCCACTCCAAACACCAGCAGCCCGTCTTCATGCATCCTTGACTGGAAATAAATAGGGTGGCACTCAATGAGCCAGTCCATCTTCCTCCTAAGGAGCTCTGGGGGAGGGTCTGCCTCTACCCACTTAGGAGCTGGGATCCATCTGGCTCTTGGAGAGGGGTTGGGGAAGGTGGGGAATACAGACTGCAGACCACCCCTTTCTGGCCTGGCCCGGGTCAGCCTGTGAGCATTCATGCTCTCTGAGGTCTGATCTCATGGCACACTGTCTGCCCTGTCCCAAAGAGACCCCTCCCCACCAGACCCCAGCCCCTGGCCCCCACCCCGAGAGTCCCATCATGGGTTTCTGCTCCCATCTCTAGCCGTGCGGCCTGGGGAGCCAGCGCCTTCTCCTCGGCCAAGAGGATCAGCTGTGGGGAAGGAAGCTTTGCTGTCATATTTTTTTTCTTTTTTCCCCCTGTGTTTCAGGGGATGAGGGCCTGGCCCCTGCCTGACACTGGTCAACGGGCCGTCAGCTCCATGGTCTTCTTCCGCTCCTCCCGCTGCTCCTCCCAGTCCTCTTCGGGCTCATACGTGCCCTTGATGATGGCCACACGCTCACTCAGGCTCAGGGAATTAGGGAAGAGCAAATAGAAGTAGAGGATGGCAGCCAAGGAAGCCCCCAGGATGGGGCCCACCCAGAAGACCTGGTGGAAATAGGGCCAGTAGTCAGGGGCTGAGCGCCAGGCCTGGGAGACCACACCTCCCCCTACCAGAGGACAGAGCCTTGGACCCTGAGGAGACGGGCATACAGACTTCCAGACCTCCAGAGGGAAAGCCTGCCTCCCACTTCTGGACAGATACACACCCCGCCCTCCAGTGACAGAGACATGGACCAAGGACACTCAGATCCTGAAAGGGAGCAGACAGATCCCCAGAGGGCCCGGCTCCCTCCAACCGCACCCTAACGAGAATCAAATGAACCTTTAAAGGGGACATATGGATCCTCAGAGAGACAGATGAACAGGACTCTTCTCCCCTCAACACAGAGATAGAAACACAGACCCCGGAGAGTGACAATGAGCTCTCAAAGGAAGTGACAGAAAGATTGTCCAGAGGAACAGACCCACAGGAAGATTCCACCAACCCTCTCAACAGGGGCAGATCAATAAAACATCAGACAGGATGGACATATAGATGCCCAGAGGGACAGACACAAGATCCTCAGAGCAGATCAACACAGTTCTCCTCTGTTACCTCCAGGAAGGTACAGATCCCCCTCCCTAGGGAGACAGACACTCATACCCCCCTGTCCCCAGGGGCTCAAACTATATAAACTCACCCTGCCCTTCTGGCCAAATCCCAAGTTCCCCTTTCTCTCCAGCCACAGCTCCCGGGCCCACCCCCCAGCTCTGGGCCCACAGCATCCACAAAGTCCCTTCAGGTCCTCATGAGTCTCCAGGCCCTCATGGCCAGGGAGCCAGGGGAGGGCCCAGACTCACCCAGTGCGAGGGGCTAAACCGATTCATGACCACTGCGGGGCCGAAAGAGCGAGCTGGGTTCATGGAGCAGCCAGTGAAGTAGATCTGGAGAGAGAGGGCGGTGGTGAGGGGGGCAACCGTTCTTGTCCACTACCACGAAACCTGGACTCTCCTAAGGTCACACAACCGTTCAGGGCTCAGCCAGGTCTCAAACTCATGTCTCCGGATTCCTAGGCTGTCACCCTCTCCATGCAGGATCCCAGCTGTCCAGTTAACCGGGGCCTACTCTCTTCTCTGTCCTGAGCTTAGGCTTGATTCCCTGCCCCTACCCCACCTCCTACTTACTCTGCTCTTTCATCAGCCCAGAGAAGGTTTTGGGGAGGGGGGTCAAGTCTGGGGCCCAGTAGTGCCAGAGTCCAGCAGCCCTAAATCCAGGCCTTAAACTCTGCTGGACTCATTAGTCTGGTGGGGGTCTACTCTGGGGCTCCATTATTTGCCTGGAGTGTCTGCCCCCATCCCAGCCCCAGCTGAGTGTCAGCACTGCTCACCCCCACAAGGTGACCCAATGTGACAGACAGGCCAATGGACAGGGCCGGGGAGCCCACAGGGCTGGTGCGGCGGGAGTCAGTAGAGGCGAAGACGCAGAGCCCCAGCTGGAAGGTCAGAATCAGCTCCACCACCATGGCCTGGCCCTGTGTCGTGTTGTTGTTGAGCTGCAAGGGGAGGGTGGGTTAGGAGCTCTGCGCCTTCTGGCTCTATAACCCCGGGCTTGGGGAGAGGAGCTTTAGGTCTCCAAGGACACCTAGAGCACCTTGGCATCTGGAAGCCAAGTCCTGTGCATGTCACCTCAAAGAAACCATTTGTGGAAGCTTGAAGTTCCGGCCTGTGGCCAAAGGCAGAGTATCCTGGACACGGGCCTGTCAACGGCTTTGCCCAACCCCCAACTCCCACAAGCTGGCATTTACCCCCCTCCTGTGGGCAGCTGCCCAGTTTGCCTACTGCACCCCCAACCGGCCTCCTGCCCATGCCTGACCTGATGCTGGTGCCAACCTCAAACCCGTCTCTCCAGTGCGGCTGACTCACGGCTTGACAATGGCCGAGAAAATCCTTCTCTGTGTTTGATTAATGAACCCAGTTTGCATGGCGGGGGGGCTACTAAATCTGCGGCTACAGGAGCGGGGAGGCAGCAGCCGGCAGGAGCAGGGGGTGGGGAAAGGAGGAACCAATATTCAATAGAGCCCACTACGCATTGGCATGTTAGGGGGTTCATGTCCATGACATCTGCTGTCATAGGTATGACTGTCCCCAGGTAATGGATGAAAGAAATGAAGGACAGAGAGGCTAGGGTCACCCAAGCCAGGATGACAACCCACTTCTCTCAGAGGTTTCCATGAAACCATTACACTGATGAGCAGGCAGGGGAGGTGAGGGACCCACGAGGAAAGCAGAGCTCAAAGGCAAGACAGAAGCAAAGGCAGATGTTTTGGGCAAGAGAGGAGGGGCAGCAGGCACCTGGAGAGGCCAGGATGGGCCAGCATGAGGAGGGGGCAGAGGAAGTGGATATGAGTCAGGGAGAGGGGGCACACATAGGCCTAGAGATTCATGGCCTTGGCCTTAGGGGGCTCTCACCTTCCTGACAAGGGCATGGGCTGGCCCACTCTGTTGCACCCATTCTCAAGATGGGGCATGGAGGCCTGGTCCTGAGCCCACCCAGGGTCCCTGCCCCCTCGTCCAGTCTGGTGGGCACTCACCGCGTTGACTGCCAGATTGCCCCGGGCATTGAGTGGTGCCAGCCAGTAGAGGGTGGCCGCCCCGGCAATGGCACCCACCAGCTGGGCCACCACGTAGAAGACAGCCCGGAGCAGCGAGATCTGGTTGCCCAATAAGAGGGCCAGGGTGATGGCGGGGTTGATGTGGCCGCCGCTCACGGGCCCCAGGGCCTGGGCCATGGTGCCTATGGCCAGGCCAAAGGCCAACGAGATCTGCAGAATGGAGGGCAGCGCCGAGGGCCACTTGAGGGCTGAGCCGAGGCCAAAGAAGACGAAGATGAGAGTGGCTAAGAACTCCGCGAACACGGCCTTGAGGAAGGCCACAGAGCACACCTCCTTCTTCATGGTGGCCTCCGGAGCCCGGTGGCGGTGGCAGCAGCGGCTGGGGGCGCCCGTCGGGGCGGTGGTGGCGACGGCGGTGGCGGTGGGGGCAGAGGGCTGGCTGCGGGGCACTGGGCGCTGTCCCGCACCCACTGCGCGGCTGGCGGGCTGGCGCGGGCCCGGCAGGGGCGCGCTATATAGAGGGCGGGCGGCCGCGAGCGGGGCGAGCGCGGGGGGGCAGTGGGCGGCTCCTGCGCCCGGGGGCCCTCGCGGCGCGCGGGGAGGAAAGTTGGCGGCCGCCACCCGCTCGTAGCTGCCCGCGGCCCCGCGCGCCCCGGGCCCGGCGCCTGCCCCCCTGCCCGGCCAGCGGCCGACCCGCCCGGGCCACGTGACCCAGGCGGCGGTGTAGACGGGACCCGCGGCCGTGGACCCGCGCATGGTGCGCTCTGGGCGGCTCCCGCGCTCTTCTTAGTGCTGCGCGTCCCGGGCTCCCTGGAAGACTTGGTTCGGTCCCGGCTCCCCGGTGCGACAGACCTCTGAGTGTCTACCTCCGCCGGGCCTTTCCCTCGGTCCGTGGTCGTCCCCTTTTCTTCTCTTCGGGCCCCTGGTCCAGCTCCTCCTTTTCCTCCTGCGACTGGAGCATCCTGACCCGGCCTCACCCCTGCTGGGCCTGAATGATGCTATTCCCCGAGGACAGCGCCACTCAGCTCCCTGTCTGCCAGGGGCGGGCCGGCCGGCCGGGCTGGGCTGTGCGGGGCGGCGTGGCCGTCGTGGGCCACTCCTGGGCCGGGCCGGGCTGGCTTCTAGGCTAGGAGCGGGGGCGTTTAGGAAAAGTGGGCTCAGTGCCAGCCTACCTGGACGCCTCATCGCTGGGCAATACCTGGACTAGGCAGCAGCCCGCGGGAGGCGCCCTCTGCGGGCAGTCGTCCCACCCCCTCCGCGCATAGCCCTCTCGGGGATCCCTGCGATCTGAGCCCGCACAAGGTGAGGCTGGGAGTTCCCTGGGTCGGTAGGACCGGTGGGGGCACGTCTCTTCCTCTCTGCCTGTCTTTCTCAGTCTTTCTCAATCGCTCTTGTTTCAGTCTCAGTGTGTCTCTTAAGTTCTGTGCCCCTCCCTCACAGTCTCTCTCACACTTTCTCATTTTCTTTGTATCCTTCCTGCCTTTTACTGTCTTAGTCTGTCTCTATTCACTCTCTCTTCTCAGTTTCTGTCCCCTCTCTATTTTCACCTTCTCTCCGCCTCTTTTACTTGCTGTGCCTTTCTTTGTTTCTGTTGATCTCTATTTCATTTTCCATGTCCCTCTCTCTTACACGTGGTCTTTTTCAGTCCCCCCCAAAGTCAAGTCCTTCTACCCCTGGGCTGGGCCACACTTTCTGCCATCCCTCCCCCCAACCTGGTCCTTGCTTGCTTCCCTCTGAGCAGCCCCTCTCTGACCTGCGGCCTCTGCGCCCCTCCCTCTTCCCCTCCCCAGGTTTGGCATGTGGGGAATGAGGCTGGAGGGCTCTCTGGGGCTTGGAGGACCGACAAGGATCCACCCTCAGGATCCTGCCCTGAAGACCTCCACCCTGTGGGTGCTTGGGAAGCACTTAGCACAGTGTCTGGCATAGTGCCAGTCTCGGTAAAGTCTTCTTATGTTGTGACTTTTAAAAGCCCCCTGAGGGTATGGTGTGTAGCTAAGCTGGAGGGAAGGAGCCCAGCCCCAGTGCAGCATGGGCGAGAACAGGTGCCTCCTCTGTCCGTTTGCCAGGCAGGGGCTGAGGGGAGGAGCCTGCAGGAAAGCAGGACCTGGGGGAGTGAACTCGTCTGGGCTCCTTGGCAGCTAAGAGGCCAAAGAAAACAGGGGCCAAAGAAACCCCGCTATTGTTCCCACTCTGCTCTGGCATTTCCTGCTGTGGCAACTCCTCCCCCAGGTCTCTCCTCTTAGGCTGGTCTGTCTGTCCTTTCTTCCATGGGTCTCAAGGCTCTGCCCCCAGCACAGCATGCCAGCTGTACACAGGATTTTCTTCTGGGCCTGGGGCTCAGACTGGACAATGACCCTGATGACCCCAGAGGCCCTTGGGGGCCAGGCTCCTTCCCTGCCAAACTTGCCTCCAGTCTGCACCTTCTGTCTTCTTTCTCATCCTCTCTCCCCAGGTACTGTCTTCATGAACCCACAGGTCTCAAACTCCAGTGTCTTGAAGTAGGACTCAGAAATGCTCACAGGAGCCTGGGCCACCAAGGGAAGCTCCTACCTGAGGATTTGAGCTTAGTGCTTTGCAGCTAACCATGGACTATGAAGGTGGAGACCTCCTTGCCATTTTTTTTTTTTTTTGAGACAGAGTCTGGCTTTGTTGCTGGGCTAGAGTGCCATGGCGTCAGCCTAGCTCACAGCAACCTCAAACTCCTGGCCTCAAGCAATCCTTCTGCCTCAGCCTCCCGAGTAGCTGGGACTACAGGCATGCGCCACCATGCCCGGCTAATTTTTTCTATATATATTAGTTGGCCAATTAATTTCTTTCTATTTATAGTAGAGATGGGGTCTCGCTCCTGGTCAGGCTGGTTTCGAACTCCTGACCTTGAGCAATCTGCCAGCCTCGGCCTCCCAGAGTGCTAGGATTACAGGCGTGAGCAACCACGCCTGGCCCCTCCTTGCCATTTTATAGATTCAGAATATAATCTATAAAATTATAGATTATAATTAGCCCCATTGTACCATTTAATTCCAACCTACCTGTGGGGAGACCCAGACTCAGAGGTTATTTGCCCAAGGTCACATAGTGACCTGAGATGGGAACCACAGGTTGCCACCCAGATTGGTCACCTGGTGTGGAACTGGTAAGGCCAAAGAAGGAGACTGCATCTGTCAAGGTTACTCATGGGAAGCAGCTGATTCTGTTTCCTAGGCCTTTGCCTGAGGCCCTTCCATCTCTCTAAACCATCAGTGTTACTGTGTCCCTAGGTTGTCACAAGAAACTACTGGAGGTATTATGTTTGGAATTGTCTTTGCCTTGAGCACTCAGGCCCTCCCCTGCCAGCTCCAGGGGAATGCTTCCCTGGGACCTTTCCAGGCTGGGACATGGGTCTCCCCATTTGTGGCAAGGGGAGTTGGAATCTCTCAGGGAAAGCTCCATCCTCTCTTCCCCTGACATAGGGACCTCTGGATTCCTGGGGAGAAGCCAAGGGCTGGAGGTAGGATGGTAGGAAACTCAATCTGTCTTCTGGTACCTTGGACTATAATGACCATTTCCAAGTTGTGGAAGAAACAATACATGTTGGCAAATGAGGATTTATTGAGTGCTTACTATATGCAGAGCACTGTGCTAGACAAGACAGATGAGGGAAGATAGATGGGAGAACGTCATCCAAGAACTGGAAGGAGCCCTGCCCCCACAGGGCTTACAATCTAGCTAGGAGGCATTGTAGATATATACAAAATCACAACTTAAAGATACAAAACAACATCTGTAGGTACAAAATCATTTGGCACAAAGTGGGAATGTGGGAATGGCTACTTCTGAGACATAGTGATCAGCCACCTCCTCCTCTCAGCTCAGAGCCTTCTCTGTCCCAAGCTTGGGGACCTAGAGCTCTGTCCACCTGCCTCCATGTTGCCCTGTCTCTGTCTGGTTTGGGGTGTGTCTGACCTTCACCCTCCTCCAGACTAGGTGCTCTTCAGGGGCAGAAACCAATTCCACATTCTTTGTCATGTCTTCCCTACCCTGCTACTGCACTATCCAAGGCTCTGTGTTCTCCACAAGACAGTGTGCTGGGCTGGACAGGCCCAGTTGTGTGTTTTGGTTTCTGCCAGGGGCTCCCAGGAGAAGTCTAGGATTTGACTCAGTGGAAAGATCATGGGATTTTGCATACGAAGATTTGAGTTCATGTCTTGGCTCCTATATATTAACTTGTGTGACTTTAGACTCGTTTCTTTTATTTATTTATTTATTTTTTAAATTTCGGCATATTATGGGGGTACAGATTTTATAGACTCGTTTCTTAGCCTTGGTTTCTGAATGTTTAAAATGGGAAGAACAGCATTTGCTCTGCCTATCCCATGGGGTTGTGAGATAATCATAGGGGATGATAAGGCAGATATGTGGAAATAGTAAAATCCTTCATGGCTGCTGGCTTTGTCCTTCCCTAACCTGTCTGAAATTTTAGGAGGAGCGGCTGGGCTAATGCACGTAAGGCACCCAGCACAGCGGCTGGTACACAAGAGATGCTTCTTCCTCCCCATCACTTGGAATCTTGCTCTGACCTCTGACCCCAATTTGGGCAATAGGGGCTGGAAGTGGTAGTGATCTCACATTTAGTTTTGGGGGAGTTGCAATCCAGGAAGTGGAATAGACCTAGAGAGAAATTGTTGTCATCTTGTAAAGGGGTTTGTTGGGGTGAGACAGAGTGGGGATGAGGGGCCTGAGACACATCCAGGCTGGGCTCCCAGCTTGGTGCCTTTCTGCCTTTTAGCTTCTAGAGCAAGGACACTCAGCTACCAGGAGGATAGCCCCAGAGGTCACCTTGGTTTCTGGCTGTAGCCTTCCCCCAGCAGTGAGGCCAGGTGGCTGTCACTAGCTGTTGGGGGTTTGAGAGAGTGCTCTCCATAGCATCTGTTGCCCAGGGAAGCCCTTTTCTCATCCTGAAGGAAGACAGAACTGAGCCTAGATGAGAAGAGGCACAATTACAGAGATGTTCCTATACACAGTCCATTTTTGATGGGGGTGGAAGGGAGGAAGAGGCTAGACATAGTGCCTGGTACACAGGGAACATGAGTACAATGTGGGACAGACACAGACAGAAGCCTTGAAAGCACAGGGGCCATGGAGAACATGGAGAGGGGGGCTCTAGGTGTGACCTTTAGGTTAGTTATGCAGCGGTCTGGAGGGGGAGGGAGAGAATGGATGGGGTTGGGCAGTAGGAGGAAGGAAGTAGGAGAACAGCCAGCTGCACTCTGGGTAAGGAGAGGTTAAGAGGCTGGATCAGGATGGGGCCAGCCCCAAACCCATCTCCTGCCTGGACCTTGGGGCTCCCAGGACTCTCCTTTGCTTTGACTACCGACTAAAGGAGGTAAAGGAGGCAGAGGGTCAGGCCCCTTCTGCATTCTTTCCCCAGGAAGCAGAAATAATGAAATGATCCTAGTAATGCGTGATAATGGTATTAAGAATTACAGTTCACACAGCCTCTTTACATGTATCATCTCACTTAATCCCAGTTAATCTCATTTGAGAACCTTTGCACTGGCTTGGAAATTTAGAAGCCTGGATTCTAGACTCAGACTTACCTCTGCCTGGACAAGTCATTTCCCTTCTCTAGCGCTGAGCAGCAGGCTGCTCTGTCCACAGTAACTGTCCAGGGCTGGGAGCCAGAAAGAGGTGAGCGTGGGGTGAGGGGAGGAAGGGAGGGAAGGAACAGGGGTTCCTGGCAAGGAGGAGCTGCTGCCTGGGGTGGGGCTGGGGGTGCTAAACCAGTGATGGAGGGGCGTTGCCTGGTGCCGGTGGTTGCATGCCTGAGCGCCTTGCCCAGCCAGCCATAGGTATAGGTGTGTGCTGGGTGAGAGGCTCACTTGCGAAACTGAGTGTCTCCTTTCAAGAAGTGTCTAGTTGCAAATCTCCCCCTCTCCCAAGACAAAAGCTAGGGGCCCACAAAGGGCTTTTGTTTTCTCTGCTGAAGTGGGAGGCTAATCTCTGGGTGGGTGGGGGGCTGGAGATGAGGGTCCTCTGAGCACACAGCATACACACAGGTATGTGCACATACATGTGTCTGCTTCCCCCCTTGGAGAGGTCGTCCCTCAGGGCAAAAAGGAAATCCTTAGCCACCCAACCCTCTTTTTTCCAGAGGCCATTTCTAAGGGAGCTGTTTTCTGGTTGACACCTCTCTGCTTTGAGCAATGGGTCCCCCTGCAAGTCTTGGGGCCCAGAGCTGCAGCTGGGGAGAAGGCAGGAGAGGCAAGGTAGGGGTTGGAAATCAGGACCCTCCCTTCAGCTCTCTCAAAGCGGCCTTCAGATCCTCTCCTCACCTTCTCCTGGCGATGATTGGCCTCCAGGACTCATCCACTACGGAGGAAGTGGATTTATTGCAGGTGGTGGAGGAAGGGATCCTAGCAGGAGTGAGAAGTCCCCAGGGGTGCACACTTGCACCACCACAGGTGCTCAGGGGCACGCACAACCCTGCACTTGAGGACAGGGAGGCACAGCGGATGCACACACACTTGCACACTAGCAAAACTGGAGGCATCATTCCCAGATCCCCCAGTGCCAGCGTCTGTACACTTCCCACCCAGTACCTGGGTTCAGGCTCTTAAGAACTTTCCTCTTCCGGCCTACCTGTGAATCCTCCCTCCCCAGCTCGATCTCCAGATCCCCAGTTCCCCGCACGGGGCCAGGGGGTCAACCATGAGAGACCCACAGCCTGGGGCAGAGGATCTGCCAGGCTCGCGGTACCGCACAGTCCCCTCCCCGCCCGCTACCGCGCAGCCCCGCGGCCCCGCACGTCCTGCAAGTAGCTGCTCTGCTCTGGGGACCAGCTTCGGACCTGGGGGAGAGGAGGGGCGGGTGGGTCCCCTGCGGCCCGCGGGCGTCCGTCAGGGCCGGGGCGGCGAGGCGGGCGGCGCTCAGGCCTTGCTGCCCCGCGGCAGGCTCTGCGGCGAGTGCAGCTCCACCGACTGCCGCCGCCGCGCCTCGCGCTCCTCCCAGTCGGTGTCCGGCTCCAGGCCCTTCAGCACGGCCAGGCGCTCCGACAGGCTCTTGGCGGGGGGGAACAGCACGTAGTTGTAGAGCAGGGAGCCCAGGATGGCGCCGACCAGGGGTCCGATCCAGAAGACCTGGGGGCGAGCGGAGAGGGCGGCTCGAACCCGCGCCGGGCACAGCCTGGGGGCCGCACCCCTCCTCCCCGCGCCAGTCCTCTGCTCACTTCGTGTGGGAAAGGGGTCTCATGCGCCATTACTATAGTAAAATGCTTACTCACGTAATTAGCAACGGCAGGAGATGTTGGGGAAGGCTCGTTTGCACGGGGCGGGGTGTTAAGGGTGCAAATTCCCAAGCTATTGCCTAGGTGTGAATCCTGATTGCACCACTTGCTGTATGAACTTTGAGAAGTTACTTACCCTCTCTGTGCCTCAGTTTCCTTTCGTTATAATGCCGCCCAACTCCTAGGGCTGTTGTGAAAACTAAATGAGTTTATATTTGCAAAGCACTTGGAACTAAGTTCTAAGAACTCTTACAACCATAAGCACTAGATAAGTGCTAAATAATCACAATATGTAAGTGTTAGCTAGTATAAACATCCATTTGCTGAGCTCTAAGGGCCAGGCACTATGCTATCTGTTTTACATACGTAACCTCACTTAATATTCCCAAGAAGCCAATGAGGTCAGAACCGTTGTTATCCTCATTTACAGATGTGCAAACGGAATCTCTTGTGTCAGGCCTGAGAGTGGAGCCCAAGGCTCTCCAGGGCCCAGGAGAAGCAGTGTGGAGGGTTTGGGGCACAGTTGCTGAAGCCCCCACCCTACTCTATTCCAGCCCTTGTTCTCCCTCTGAAATGGGTTTCTAGGGAAGGGGAAGGCAGGGGGGTTTCAGCCATTACCCAGTGGTCATCAAACTTGCCGGTGACGACAGCTGGAGCCAGGGAGCGGGCAGGATTCATGGAGCAGCCAGTGTAGTGGATCTACAAAGGGAGGTGGGGGGCAAGAGGGAAGGGAGGTGACGACAGGGCAGGGAGTCTTCGTCCCCTCTCCAATGCTGACCCTCAACCTGAAGGGAATTTATGCACTGGACATTAACTTCATGTCTTAGTTACAGGACTCTGCATTCATTCGGGGCTGGCGTGATATCCGTCCTTATCGGGCATCTGGGAGTCAAGTCCTCCAGGGTCTGTCTCTCTTGGGAGTTCTGTGTATGTGTCCCTCTGAGGGTCTTTGTGTCTGTCACTTTTGGGGGTTCTATGTATCTGTCTCGAGAATGGTCTGTGTGTCTGTTTCTTCGGGGAAGGTCTATGTGTCTGTCCCTCTAGGGAGGCTGGAACCCCTGGCTATGACCTACCCCAAGGAGGTGGCCCAGGGCCACGGAGAAGCCGATGGAGAGGGCAGGGGTGCCCAGGTTGTCTCCACGGCGTTCGTCAGTGGAGGCAAAGATGCAGAGCACCAGCTGCAGGGTCAGGAAGAGCTCCACAGTCACCGCCTGGCCGGCTGTCGTGTTGTTGCTGAGCTGGGGACAGAGAGGAGGTAGGTGGGGAGCGCTGAGCACACGCCCTGCTCTGGTTCTGTCTTCCTGCCCATCTGCAGTTGAGGCACCAGAGGCCACTGGGCTGGGAGTCAGAACACCTGGGCTCACAGACACCTTAGCTGGAACTACAGACACCTTCTTCCTGCACCCTGGCCCAAAGGCTGGGAGGGGTTGGACTCCCCAGGGCCTCCCAGCCAGAGGTAGAAAACTGACACCATGGCCCATTAGATTTGGGGACTGAGGTTGTGTGCCTACAGCATGAGAGGAAAAGGATGCTGAGATTCAGAAATTCTGTTTCCTGAAGAGCAGAAAAGGAAGAGGTTCCACTGCAGCAGGGAGCTTTGGGCCTGCTGGCAGGAAGGCCTTCTTCTCTCTGGACCCAAAGACACTGGTGTGACGAGTGGCCTGTGGCCAGGGATTTGGGTCTGTAGGACCGTCCTAGTGTGCCCTCTTCTCCCACAAGTGCCTGTCCCCATTGTATTTCAGGCCTCTGTTTTTCCCTGTGGGTTTGTTCCCCGCACAGCCTGTGGAGATTGGGGAGGGGGCACGGGAGCTCTGAACTGCAAAGCCTCCACACCCACGTGGGGCGGGGCGGCCGTGGTCCCAGCAGACCCTGTCTTGGGTGAGGAGAGAACTTGGGGCTGAGCAAAGAGGCTATTTTATAACTGGGCCACACCCAACACTGGATTTGTCATCCTATACTCTACGCCCTGCCCGCTGGGGCTGGGCATTGCACTGGGTGGAGCTCTGACAGCTCTCAGCTCCCACGCTCCTCCAGGGTCTGAATCCCCACCCAGGGTCCTAGCCATCAGGCTGATACTATTGTCTGTCTAGGGTCTAACCTTAATCCCTCCTGTTGTCTAATGTCAGAGCCTCTGGGGAATAGTGAAGAGCTTTGGAAGCAGATGCTATGGAGGCCTCTGACTCGCTGTTGGACCCTGGCCTCAGTTTCTCCTTCTGTAAAATGGGGATGACAAAGTGGATTCCGGAGGACTGTGCTAGGACAAGAAATGACTTACAAGTTCTGTGATTTGGGTCAATTTACCACTCGGGAGGAGGACCACAGAATTTTCCCCAGAGTGTTGTATCAAGGATGAGATGATGTCTGGCCCGACACAGGGCAGTTGCATATCAATGGTTACTTCCTGGTGGCCAGGTTAGTTCTTTATGTCCACAGAGGACACCTGGGACAGGCTTGATGCTCATCTGGCTCTCCCTAGCCTCAGAGAGACTGCTGCCCCATTCCAGCCAGGCAGGGTTCTCCCCAGATCCTCAAGAAAGTAAACGCTGAGCAGTAGCTTGGAGGAGCCTTTCCAGACCCTTCTGAGGGCCCAGTCAGCTGTAACATGAGAGAGGAGGACGACTGAGTGGTCTCCATGGCTTCTTAGTGCTTCCAAAGCCCCATTATTAAAGGACTTTCTTGGTCATGCTCTCAGGAAGTTCTTCTCTCAGTCTATCTGGACCTCTTGTGCAAACTGAACTCATTTCGTTCTCAACGGAGGCGAGCACATTCCTCAATCTGTCCACCACTTTGGCCACTCTATAGCCTTTTCTTGGCCCTGGGCCCCCAGCCTCATTATATTTTCCATTTGGAAGAACAGAGAAGCTCCACAATTGGGATCTCTCTGCCCCTCGCATGAGGAAGAGCCACCTGTGCAGAGGAGGGGATGGCCATGGAGACCTTACAGGACTCTTCAAGGACATCAAGACTCTTATCCAGCGGCCCAGGGATAGAGCAGGCTAAGAAATGCTGGAGGCTGGGGCACAAAACAGGCATTTGTTGTCCTGGCTGGGGATGAGGGGATGGAGTGAGAGTTGTCCTCAGGAGGGCACAGGCCATTGGTCCCCACCCATGCCCCTTGGATTCCCAGGCTCTATACTGACCCAGGAAATGGGAAGGGGGTAAGATGTGGCAGGGAGGGGCCGCAGCATCACCCTCAGCTCCCAAAGTGCCCAAGATGCCCAGTTAGCCACTGGGTCACGTGACCGGTGGCTAGCTCACGGGCTCTGGGGACCTTCTCCAGGGTTTGGAGAAGGGAGCACATGCCCCCCCTACTTGCAGGGCTGTGCGAGGTGTTGATGTGTGGCTTGAGGGTAGCACCCGTCACAGGCCTGCACCGGGAGATGCTGAAGACAGAACTCTGAGGGTCCCCCCAGCTCAGAAAGCACGTTTGCTTTGGGACCCTGTCCCCTGCTGAGGTCTAGCTGCTGTAATGAAGCATCAAGTCCAGCAGAAACCCGATGCTACTCTTCCTTCATGGGGCTCGGGGCAGACAATACCAGCAGACATTTGTACCCTGCCTCTGCTGACGTTACTGCTCCTACTACCCTGTTCTATGGCCGCTGTGTCCTGGCTCCTGTGTCCTGGTCCAGCCTCTCTCTGTCTCTGTCACTGTCTTCTTTCCCAGACCATCACTCAGCACCAGTCCCTCCCAGCTCCTCCTTTGCTAGGGATTCCCCGGGATCTGCCCTTGTGGGAGGACCGAAGTTCTGGCTACTCACGGCGTTGACTGCCAGGTCCCCGCGGATGTCCACTGGCGTGATCTCATGGAGCAGAGCAGCCCCTGCCACAGCCCCCAGCAGCTGGGCCGCCACATAGAAGGCAGCTCGGAGGAAGGAGACATGGCAGCCCACCAGGCAGGCCACGGTCACGGCAGGGTTGATGTGGGCTCCGCTGATGTGGCCCAGAGTCTGCACCAGGGTGCCGATGCCTAGGCCGAAGGCCATGGCGATCTGCAGCACGGAGGGCAGGGCCTGCGGCCAGTTGAGGGCCGAGCCAAGGCCAAAGAAGACGAAGAGGAGCGTGGCCAGGAACTCTGCGAACACGGCCCTGGAGAAGGCTATGGACCGCAGTTCCCACATGCTGCGGAGCCTTGTGGGGGCCGGCCCGGTGGTGTCCGGGCCAGGAGGCTTGTGGCGCTCTCTCTCGATCTCTCTTAAGGCCTCTGGGGAGGCCAGGCTGCCGGCATTTATAGGGGCCTTCCATCCTGGGTCTGGGCATGTGGGGTGGAGGTGGAGTCAGTCAGGCCAGTACCTCTTCTCCCCCATGGCCACCCCTGTCCACCCGCATGCCTATCACCCCATCTTGGCCTTCACAGCTGACTTATGTTCCCCATTAATGAGCTCCAGATAAGGACTGACGTCCCCTGATTTTCCGTGTTTGTTCCCTTGGTTACCTCAGGGCTGCTGCCCCAGGGCCTCCCCTACCCCCCCAGGCTTCTGCGAATGGGAACCTTGGTGGGGGACGTGGCCAATACGCCCCTCTCTGACTTGAACTGTTGGCCAAGGCAGGGGCAGCACCTCACCCAAGACTGATTATGAGAGAACATCAACACTACCTCTTCTGGTGATCGGGAAGTTCTTCCCGCTGTCCAACCTCCAATTATTCCTTCTCGAAGGGGATGGAAAACAACTGGTTGACTTGTGACAAATTTCCAAGGCATGAAGGATTTGTGTCTCTTGTGTGCTTGCTTTCTCGTGGTTAATCACCCATAAGTCATTAAGCTTTGCCTTCTCCCTGCAGTTCCAGCCAAATAGCAGCTCCCATAGCCTGGAGGCAGGGGGTGGCTTCAATGGCATCAGGACCCTGGCCCTGGGTGATGGAGTCAACTTGGGGTTGATGGAGGAAGCCGAGGGCTTTCACTGCACCTCTTCCATCACCCTGTTCCATCTCTGTGACCTAACCTTCCTTGTCTTTCTCTGTAAAATCAGGATAATAAGACTGACCTCATGGGGTTGGGGTTTGTTAAATGAAACACGGTATGTAAAGTGCTCAGAGCAGCACCTGGCCCGCTGAGTAAGTAGTCAGTTAATATCAGCCATTACTCGTAGTATTGTATATACTCCAAGGAGAGCAGTTGTCCCCAGATTCACATGTCAGGGTCCCAGAAGATGTGACAGGCCCTAGGAATCCCCTGGAGCTCAGCTCCCCACCCCGGCCACAGGGGGAAGACGTTTCTGTGGGGCAGGGAGCTGTATGGGCTCAGGGAGGCCGTGATGCCTGGTAGGTGGCTCTCTGGCCTTGGTGTCCACTCAGCCCAGCATCTAGGCAATGCCACCTCCTGCTACCCATGCTGCTGTGGCCACTGGGGTCCTAGAGATGTTCAGGTCTCCACTCACCGGCTCTGCCCTAATCCTTCCAGTCCTGCTCCCTCTCCTGGGGATCCACAGGCCGGGCTGAGCTCAGAGCAAGGTCAGGAGGAAGGACGGCTGTGGACCCTGCTCTACCTCCTGTCCTGCAGATCCCTGGGCAAGTCACAGTCCCACGAATGGAAACCTGGGAGGAATTGGAGACTTTTTTTTTTTTTTTTTTTTTTTGAGACAGAGTCCACTTCTTGCTAGGCTAGAGTTGAGGCCGTGGGTTGTCACCTACCTCACAACCTCAAACTCCTGGGCTCAAGCGATCCTCCTGCCTCAGCCTCCCGAGTAGCTGGGACTACAGGCATGCGCCACCATGCCCGGCTGATTTTTATATTATATACATTAGTTGGCCAATTAATTTCTTTCTATTTTTATGGTAGAGACGGGGTCTCGCTCAGGCTGGTTTTGAACTGCTGACCTTGAGCAATCCGCCCGCCTCGGCCTCCCAGAGTGCTAGGATTACAGGCGTGAGCCACCGCGCCCAGCCAATTGGAGACTTTTGAGTGAGAATTTTGTGTTGTATCACAGGGAAACTGATGCCCAAGGAGGGTGAATGACTTGTCCAGGGTGGTCCGGTAAGTCAGTGGCTGGGCTGGGACTGGAACCTGGTCTGGAGAGCCCTCCTCCACGTCGAGCACTGGTGAGCCACACTCCAGCCGAGCCTCAGCTTCCTAGTCTGGACAACAGGAGTAATGATGCCTGACCTACAAAGTTGTTTTGAGAATGCGGTAAGATAATGAATGGGCACTTTGGGAGCCAAGGTGGGAGGATTGTTTGAGGCCAGGAGTTCAAGACCAGCCTGGGCAACGTAGCAAGACTGTATCTCTAAAAAAAAAAAATTAGCCGGGTGGGGCGGCACACAATGCTTGTAGTCCCAGCCACTTGGGAGGCTGAGGCAGGAAGATGGCTTGAGCCCAGGAATTGAGGCTGAGGTAAGCTATGATCAGGCCACTGTACTCCAGTTTGGGCAAAAGAGTGTCTCTTAAAAAAAACATAATGAATGGGAAAGTATTTTGCAACTGAGAACGTGTCATACTCATATATATCAGGACTTGTGACTCCTGCTATCGAGGAGAAGGAGGAAGAGGAGGCAGAGGAAGAAAGAAAAAAATTGTCCAAATAGAAGGGAGGTCCGAAAAGGCAGGGATTCTTATGGGTTTTGTTCTCTAACGTATTTCCAGAGCCTAGAACCGTGCCTGACACACAGGTACCTGGCACCCTGGCATCTAGCCTCAGCCATCCCTCCCAACCTCAAGCATTCTGATTGCTCTATGAAGAGATTCAGAGGGAGCAGGGGGCCCCCAACCCTGTGTTATAAAGGGTGTCTGGGACCCATCTCCAGACTCAGCACATAGGAAGAGACAAGGATCCTGAGGAGTGCCTTGGCTGTGCCTCTGACCCCACCCAGGGGATGCCTTCCACACTCCCTTCTTTTGTGGCTTCATGTACCACTTCTGACCCTCCGTCACACTGTCTACCTCAACTGGCCAAGTTCAGGCCTGAGCCTGGAAAACCTTCCCCTCATATGAGCTGGAGTTGTGACAATGGTTCCCACATCCACTTCCAGCCACTGAATTGCTGTGTGCCCTTGGGTGGGCCACACACCTTTTCTGGTCTCTCCTCTTTGGTCAAGGTGTTCATTATCTTGAGAGAGTGGCCCACTGGCCCTTGATTCTGGGAAGTACTGCTCCTAACCCAGTTGAGTAAAAATCTCCTAACTCCTGGCAAATCCAGAACAGGTGTCATGGCTTCTCTTTGCAGCCCACAAAGTCCCAACCCAAATTTGTATGTGTTTGTGGTGCCTATGTCTGGTCATTCAGTCACATAATCATAAATTTAGAACCTGATGGGATCATAGAGATCATCTAGCCTGTGGATCTCATTTTATATGATTAGAACATCAAGTCGGAGCCAGGTGATGCACACCTGTTGTCCCAGCTACTCAGGAAGCTGAGTCGGACGGTTGCTTGAGCCCAGGAGTTCGAGTCCAGCCTGGCAACATAGCAAGACCTGGTCTCAAAAGAAAAACAAACAAACAGATAAGCAAACAAACAAACCCCAAAACCCTTTCTTCTCCAGGTTAGGATACTTAAAAAAAAAAAAAGAACATGAAGTCCGGAGAGATTGTGACTTGCAGGTCACACAGCTTATAGCAGCAGGCAGGACTCAAGCCCGCATGCTGATCTGGCCCCAAGTCTGGGAGGAGGGGAAGGGGCCCATGATGACTGAGCTCCCGCTCATGCCCGTGTTTGCACTTGACTTTCGCTTCATGCCTGAGAGGAACAAGGTGTTCCCGGCAAAGCCAGCAGGGCTCTTGCTGTGGTTCTGGGAGGGCAGCTGTGCTCCCACGAGAGGACGGCTGCATTTTGTCTACCACGACCACTATGCTGTGTCTCAGGAAACCTATGCATCTGTGTTGCACTACTAGTTGGAATATGACAAAAGGGCTTTCTCGGAGATGGATGCACAATAATGTGAATGTACTTAAGGCCGCTGAACTGTGCACTTAAAAATCGTTAAGATGGTTAGTTTTATATTATGTGTATTTTACTACGATTAAAAATAACATATATATTTTTTAAGCCGGGCGTGGTGGCTCACGCCTGTAATCCTAGCACTTTGGGAGGCTGAGGCGGGCGGATTGCTCAAGGTCAGGAGTTCGAAACCAGCCTGAGCGAGACCCCGTCTCTACCAAAAAAATAGAAATAAATTAATTGACCAACTAAAAATATATATACAAAAAATTAGCTGGGCATGGTGGTGCATGCCTGTAGTCCCAGCTACTCGGGAGGCTGAGGCAGTAGGATCGCTGAGCCCCGAAGTTTGAGGTTGCTGTGAGCCAGGCTGACGCCACAGCACTCACTCTAGCCTGGGCAACAAAAGTGAGACTCTGTCTCAAAAAAAAAAAAAAAAAAATAACATATATATTTTTTAAGTCAGAGAAAGAAAATGATCAAAAATGCTTTCTTACCACTAGGCAATTTTTATTATACTATTAAAATAAGTCTTTTAGATTTATTTAGATATCAGTTTTTAAAGTCACAATTACTCTTGGGCATGCATAAAAATGGAAATTATAGGCAAAACAAATTGGCTAAAATAATCCTGAAATTTCTTCACATTCAGAGTCCAAGTTTCCTGAATTCCTCTGACTCAGAGTCCTTTATGTTTTTCTACACATGATCACCCTCTGTGCCATCAGGAGCGTGGGTGATGTACCATTGTTGAAACAATTGTCCACTGTTGTTTCCAGAATTTCTTTCCAAGCCTCGGATACTCATACTGTAAGCTTCACGGCAGGAGTTTTCTTCCTTCACGTGAGACCAGTAATACCAGCACGATGTAGTTTTATCTGTTTGTGGCTCTTCCTTTCTTAGATCTCATGAAACAGTTGACTGTTTTGCAAGAAAATATGAAATTATGGTCACTCTCCAATGATCACTACTTCACTAATATCAAATTCTTGCTATGTTCCTCTGTTTCCTGGCCTTTCTGTTTACACAATAACTTTGTTTAAATGCTAAACCACAGTGTAACCTTTTCAAAGACATTTTAAACAGCAATTAGGTGGGGCACGCCTGTAATCCCAGTACTTTGGGAGGCTGAGCCAGAAGGATCACTTGAGTCCAGGAGCTGGAGGTTGCAGTGAGCTGTGATTGTGCCACTGCACTCCAGCCTGGGCAACAGAGTGAGACCCTGTCTCTAAAAACAAACAAATAAACAAACAAACCAACAATTACACTGAACATATGCAGGAAAGAGAAGGCACAGAACTCACCTGACCAAATTTAGGTATGCCCAGGCAATGACAACCACTCCCAGCTGTCCCATGCACAATTGTAAAAGATCTTACAAAGAGAAAACAAGATATTTAGAACTGATGAAATATGGCAGTTATAAGATTAAACCCATATTTAGTGCCCACTCTGTCATGTGCCATTCTAGATAATCTTGCATATATTTGCTCTGTTAAACACTCATAGCAATCCTATGAGCTTAACATTATCATCCCATTTTTTAAAGAGCAGGAAAATGAGACAGAGAAGTTAAGTGACTTTCCTGAGGTCACACAGCTACTAAGTGGGAAGGCAGAATTAGAACACCAGTAGTCTGGCTTCAGGAGGACTTTTTTGATTGTAAAAGTAGAATACCTACCTCATTCCCTGAAATAACCAAGATGGGAGAGAAGTGAGAACCAGCACTAAGATCTTTGAATAATAAAGAAATGGATTAGGGTGTTGTTTACCCATGGCTTGGAAGAGGGGGCTGGGGCCATGCACGAGCCGGGGTGGGCCAGTGTGGAGCAGGGCCAGTGAGGACGCCCCCTGCTGGAGCACAGTGACAGTTGCCATAACGTGTGTCTCCTGCTCGGAGCTGAGCTACAAATGCCCTCCATTCTCCTGACGAGGTCGGTACAAGTGAGGCTGGTACTTTGGGGACTGAGGGAGAAGGGACAGGACAGATGCACAGTTGGGGCAAAGCGGGACTGAGTGAAGAGGGCAGCCCCAGGCGGGGCTGGCAGGAGAGGGGCCGAGCGTGCCCCTCCCCAGGAAGGCTGGGCAGAGGGTGTGGGATCCACGCAGGGCTGGGCCAGAGCGAGAGCCATGTGAAACACAGGACATCCAGGCAGATTTGAATTTCACATGAACAACAAATAATTTTGCAAGTATAAGCATGTTTCCAGAAATATTTGGGACGTACTTATACAAAAAAGAAATCCTTCGTTTTACTGAAGGCTGGAGACAGCTGGGTTACAAGCTAAATCCTCACAAGGACTTTTATAGATGAATCTTATTACCCCCACTTTACACAAGAGGAAACTGAGGCACAGGGAGACTATAAAAGTTGCCCAAGATTATAAGGGTGGTAAGTGCCGAAGAGGAGCTGTGACTATGGGAAGTCAGGCTTTTTCCCAGTGATAGGGTGACTTCAGGTGGTCCCAATAGCCGAGGCCCAGACGGAGACAGGGTGGGTCACAGGGAGGGTGCAGGTCCAAACTCCTGGGGAGACACAAAGATAGCTTCCTGCAGTCTCCCTCCTGCCCATGGGGTGGGGCCCGGGATAAAGAAGGTAGGATCTCACCTAACCTCCCATGGCTCCCCAGTGCCCCAAGACAAGGCCAGACCTTGGACTTGTGTGTCCCTTTCCATCCTCTTCATCTCTGAGCCCTAATACATGTTGTTCCCTCTCCCCGGAACATGTGTCATCGCTGTTTTCTTGTGGCCAACTCTCCCTCCAACTCTAGGCCAGTGGCTTTCAAAGCTTTTTAACTGAGCTCTGTAGTGATAAGTACAGCTGATATCCTGACTCATGAACACCATCTCTCAGACAGGCAGATAACTGAAACTAACATTTCACTAACCAGTGCTCCCTAAGTGGGATGTTTTAAATTTTACTCTATTTCGCTAAAATGTAATTCAGGTCACAACTACTAAATTGATTTTATGACCCACTAATGGGTTGCCACTCACAGTCTGAAGAACACGACTGGAGATCCGGCTGAAACATCATTTTCTCCCTGGGAGAGGCTTCCCGTAGCCCCGGGAACCCACAGTCCCTGGCGAACCCACGGTTCGTCTTGTCTTCTGTGATGCTCAGAGACTCGTGATTGTCTGCTCAGGATCTGGCTTCTCCTCTGGGCTGTGAACTCTGAGAGGACGGGACTGCATGTGGGTTTGCTCACCATTGCACCCCCTCGCGCAGGGCCGGCACATTAGAGGTTCTCGAC